CGATGAACACCTAGCAAGTAGCATCCCCATGCAGTGGTATGTAAAACGAAAGTGCATACAACATATCCCACCTTGGGTGCATCCAGTTGCACCAGATTGACAAGCAAAGATTCACTTGAATCCATGCTGGAGGCTCTAGAGCTGTTGAACCAAAACACTCCGAAATTTCAGCCATGTACTTTCAGCAACAACTCGGCCCCCACAATGGCCCAGATTGGAAGTGTGCATTGAAACAGCTCACAGAATCTTTCAAAGGTGCACAGCGGGGAGATGTGGCCTTGCTTGGTGGCACGAACCTGCCAGCCTGCGGGACGAGGCGGCATCCTGGCAAAGGGAGCATTGATGAATTCAATATTACGACAATAGCATGCACAGGTGAAGCTCTGCAGAAGCACCCTTTGGATCGTGATGGCACATCCACTCACACTATGGCACTCCTCGGGCCGGTGTTCTCACCGACTTGCCACAAGCAAGAAACTTGTAAAGCCCCGTTGGCAATAAGATTGCAGGCAACACATGTGGTTGTCACAATCAGTAATTGCTCCCGCCCCGCCCCAAAAACCTTCATAGCGCTGGCTCATGTGCAGGCAAACGTTCAAAACCGACCATCCGGATCGCGAGCTTGATCATCGATATCCAAGCCGCCGTGAGCTTGGTCAATCCGTGGCCTTGTATGCCTTGGCTGTTGGCTAGAAGACAGATGGCACAAGCACATGTGCACACATGTTGCCACATAGCATGACTGATATATGCACATACAAGACACAGCCTGTGCTTCCTGCTTACACACTTCAAGTTCTTTGCCTTCGTTCTTAGCCTTAAGCATCGCCTTGTGGTAGGCCACAGATTTCCTGGATCGTTTCGCCTTCTGCTCTGCAACCGCATCAGCAGCCTTGCCCTTGTCGGCAGCCCCCCGCTTTTTCGTGGAAACCTCAACCTTTGCTGCAGGCTTTTTTGTTGTTGCATCATCCATCTTCGCCTTTGCACTGCTCTTTGCACTTGCCTTGGGTTTGGCATCATCCTTCTTTGCTGTCGCCTTTGCTGTCGCCTTTGCTGTCGCCTTTGCTTTCGCCTTTGCTTTTGCCTTTGCTTTTGCCTTAGACTTAGGCTTTGGTGATCGTGGGGCTCGATTGCTCTTGGTTTTGGGTCTGGGCTCCTCATCATTCTCATCTCCTTCCTCCTCCATTGCCTCCGACATCTCAGCATCACTTTCATCAGGTTCTGTGGGAGTAATCGGGGCCTCCTCCTTCTCCTCATCCTCCACGGTGGGCTTGCGGCCCCGCCCTTTGCCCTTTCCCCCACGACCCGTTGAGGTCTTCGTAGCACCACGGCCCCGACCTCGGCCGCGACCTCGGCCCTTGGGCTTTGATGCATCGGCCAGCGCTTCAGCGAGCGGGGTATCTTCAGTCCCTTCCTCACATACCTTCTTGGCCTTCCTTTTCTTCGGCTTGGGAACAGCTGCTGCTTGCTCACTTGGCGACAGGGGTTTGAAGGTCTGCCTGTCGGGACATTCAGGTAGCTGATCTTCCAATGCCTCAGCTTTCTAGCTGTTTAGGGATTAGGGTTTAGGGTTTTAAGGGTATACTCTAGTTATATATAGGTCTAAATTAATTCTTGACAGACCACATGATTGCAGAATTCAGCTAGAGCACATCCTTGGCAACAGCACCATCAGAACCTTCATCATCTGTGTAGTGCACAGTTGCAAGGCTAAGACTGACACCATCGTCAGACTTTGCAGCTTCATCATCAACAGCAGCAACTGACATCATGGGCTCGCGCTCTTTCTCTTGACCCTCTGGAGTCTCTAGAGGTTGTTCCCCAGGACACAGCAGAACCGATCCTGTGCCAAGGTCCTCCTCGGTGGACTTGATCAGGCTGTCAATGGCATCAAGGCCACCCAAGTTGATGTCCATCGGCAGAGTGTCCACATTATCCAAGCCTGGGCTCAGTTATGGCAGTTTTGAGTAGGGCTTGGTTTGGAGGATATGAACCAACATGCGTGCAAGCATGCAATGTGTAATATACCGGCCTAGACACACATGAAGCCACTAACATCGGCAGCCCGCTGGGGCTGCTTGTGCTCAGCCTCATGTGTGATGCATGGCCTCTTGGCCTCCGCTTTGGGGTCCTCGGAAAGCTCCAGCTGCTGCTCTAGAGATCGCTTTGTGCTCATGGCTGGTAGTTTCTTAAGTTCGCTGCTGCTGCTGCTACCACCAGACCCAGGGGGTGGCAAAACTTCGCCCACACACTCCATCCTAGTTTCCAATGACTCCATCTTAGCTTGCAAAAGCTCAGCCTCCTCTTGGGCCAAAAGCCTTTGCAGCTCCCCCTCCTCAGCCTGGAGAACCAACTCCTCCAAGCTCAATTGCTCTGCAAGCAACTCAGCCTCCAGGTCAACCAGCTCGTTTTCTTCGGCCTGCAAGGCCTGGGCAAGCCTGAGACTTGCGGCCTGACTGGTAGCATCATTGGCAGACTTAGCCTGTTCAGCATCTAAAGCATTGCAGGGGAAGCACTGCAAGGCTTCAAACCCACCAACATCACCACAGTTGAGGCATCTGAAAGACTTACCCTTGTCATCGTCTTTCACCACATAGTGCTCTCGACGATGCTTCGCCTGGCTTTTTGGGGATACAGGCCAGCCTAGGCAGTTCAGAAAGCAGCAACATATGCAGTCGATCATCTAGTGCATGGCATTATGCATGCAAGCAGCATTGGGATCTATGCAGCCGAGAGACCCTTGGGAGGTGGAGTCACGACCACAGAAGATTCCGAAGGGGTGGTAGTCGTAGTTCGGCCTGGGATCAGCATGTACATTATGGAGTACAGGGTCTTTATCTTTAGCTTGAAATGAACCGATCTAGTGCAGGCAAAGCTCTGGGGATGATCAGTTTCAGGCCCTTGTCCTTCGTACCAGTGCCTCCAGGAACCTTGGTTTGGGATGATCTGTTTTAGCTTCGGGGTCTTAAGGCCGGAAAACATGCATGCACATTAAGCTAGCAAACAGGGGTGTTTAAGGCAAGGGGCAGCAGTTGGCGGCATTGTCATGCATTCTCCTGCGACCTCCAGTGCCTTTGCAACCTCCGGCTTGGGTCTAGGATTCTCTAGTGCCTTTGCAACCTCATGGGTTTTGTGATTCTCCGGCGCCTTTGCAACCTTCGGCTTGGCTGCGTGATTCTCCTCTGGTGCCTTTGCGATCTCATGGGCTGCGTGATTCTCCGGTGCCTTTGCAACCTCAGGCTTGGCTGCGTGATTCTCCGGTGCCTTTGCAACCTTAGCCTTGGCTGCGTGATTCTCCTCCGGTGCCTTTGCAACCTTATGCTCGGCTGTGTGATTCTCCAGTGCCTTTGCAACAGGCTCGGCTGCGTGATTCTCCGGTGCCTTTGCAACCTTAGGTTCGGCTGCGTGATTCTCCGGTGCTTTTGCAACCGGCTTGGCTGCGTGATGCTCCTCCGGTGTCTCTGCAACCTTCGACTCGGCTACACGGTTCAACCATGCCTTTGCCACCTCAAACTTGGCTGCACGACAACGCTTTGCAGGCTTGGGAGACACTGTAATTTCCGGGGCGGATTCAGGTGAGGGATTCACTGGAGGCTCCGATACATCAGCCACATCCAACTCTTCATCATCATCAACCTCACTCTCGGATTCCCCGGACCCCTCTCCCTCGGAGGCAGAATCATCGTCGTCGCTGGACGCACTTCTACTGCCGGCGGCACCTGCAGATGTAAATTATATAGGGCTTCTAGGGGTTGTTAGTGTCTAGGTTTTGGGCTGCAGGGTGATCAGGTTAGCTAGGCTTTAGGGGTTTAGGGTTTCGGACATTTAGCGCTACAGTCAATTATATCCCAGGCACTTTGCGGGATTGGCACTCCTGATCGCCGGAAGAGGTCACGTAGATTCGGATCTCTTGGGGCATGCGGCCGTTTCGCTGTTCTAGCGAAAAGGGTGACGAGGTTTCGTAGCACCCATCCCTCCGTCCTCAAATCACCACCTCGAGCACATATGACATTCACCTATAACACCGAAAACAAACAGACATGTGCATCCAAACTAGGACCAGTACCACTTGGCATCCTCAAAGATGCCGGTCTGTAGCCCAAGTAGAATCGCGTGACATATTCAGTCAGCAAGTTCACCGATGGACGAAGGCCTAAGTTGAGGCATATCATGATGTCAGCTAGATATTGCTCAAGACCAGAACACATGACTGCATGAACCATTTCAAGCCAGGGTTCCGAGGTGGTTTATCACAGGAGCTAAGACTTCCATGTTGTCAACCAGCGTGGCACGGTTCAACTTGTCATGCTGGAGAATCAAGATTCGTCTCGCCTTAGCAACCTGCCCCATAACTGTAGGGCTCTTTGACCATGCCCTCAGAATAGGGCATGGCTCGGGAACAGGGGCAGCTCCATCCTCCATGGCCATCCCACAGGAAGCGAAAGCTTAAGCTTATATTGTGTAGTACTGAGTACTAGGCCACCTAGCCTCCGCAGATTGGCAATCATGCCAGGACTTTCAAAAGCACTGAGCCAGCTGCTAGTAATAGGAAGGCCCACATTTGCAACATGCCGTGAACTTCGAAAGAATTGACCCTTCAAGCGAGCTTGGTGTGCCTTTGGTCCAATCGGCATCTGCATCAGCTCATCTCGAAGTGTACCTGTCCCCAGCCAAGGTACACTTCGACTATGGGGCCTGGATGCACAATACATACACACAGGGGCGCACCCAGGGGCCATGTTGGGCCGGAAATATGGAATCGTTTCAGTTCGATGCTTAAAGAGGGCTAGCCGGATGCAGAAACACGAATCAGGCCGAATACGGATAAAAACATCCGAAGCCAAATTTGCATTACAAATGCCCAAATAGTATGACAAACCCAGGTCGGACACAAATTTACATAGCAAAGGAATCCCCAGGTATAGATCCCTTTAAAGGACCCCTTATAGATCCTTTAAAAGGAGCCCTATGTGAGTCCTTAGAGCCTAAGGGCAAAGGTCCTTGAGCATCGGCAGGGCATCACGCGATGGGCGCTGCCAGGAGCTCAGCTCTTCGCGCAGAGCTCGGCGCGTCGACTCCTCGCTTGTGTCAAAGGGGAAAAGGAGGGACCCTTAATGGGGACCCCTACCCCATAATGGGCCCTTTAATGGGTATGTAATAGCTATATTAAGGGTATATACCTAGGGGGCCTTATTGAGGGTCCCTCCTTTGACCCTTGGATTTTGGATGGCGATTCGGGTGATCACATCATTAGCAAGGGATCCTAGCAGCAGGTCCCTTTAAAGGAAGGGCTTCGCAATTATAGGCTAGGGTTCCTTTCGGGATGAATTACAATATATGCAGTGTATCATGCCAGGGGGTCGGATTATTAGGGTGAAGTATATCGTGACTCGTGTGCCCTTATAAGCATGCTCTCTCACTCACTCTCTCTCTCTCTCTCTCTCTCTCTCTCTCGCGACGCCATATACCCGAAACCCAAACCGCAAACCCAAATATGACGGAAGAGAAAGAAGAAGTGCCCTAAGCCGTAAACTCTAAACCTCAAACCCTTAACCCTAAAACCCCCAAACCCTGAACCCTTAACCCTAAAACCCTAGCCCCTCAAACCCTAAACCCTTAAGAGCCCCTAGCCCCAAGGTCTCTGCAGACGCTCTGAGGCCAGTTCGGGGCCCATCTTCAGCAGCTGCTGCGCAACCTACAGGAGCGACTCAGGGCTTCGGGGTTCTTCAGGGCTCCTGTAAAGGTTCTATAGGGTTCCTTAAAGGGATCTATGGGCTCCTTAAAGGGATCTGTAGGGCTCCTTAAAGGGATCTATGGGGTTTAGGGTTTAGAGCTTATTAAAGGGCTTAGGGCTTATAGGGTTGAGGGTAAAGGTTCCCTTAAGGTCTTCAGGGCTCCTTTCTTAAAGGGCTCGCTTTAAGGGTGCTAGATGATGTGGGCTTCTAGGGCTCCTGTAAAGGATGCGGGGTGTAGTGTTGGGTCTAGGGGTGGAGGGGAGGAGTCCTTTTAACGAGTTCAATGGATTCTGAGTTAAAGGGCTTTGGTGTAGAGATTTGGGAGTTCGGGTTATAGCGATACAAGTTACAGGGTTTGGGGTTTAGAGTTCAATGCTGAAGACTTCTTTAACCCGTATTGGGCCCGCATCGGAGTTCTCTGTGACTTTTGGGCTGGGGTTTTGCAATTCCTTTTCCCTGGCCCCAAGCCCGAAACCCTAAACTGTGTAGAACCCTGACCAATCCTGTAAACCCTATAAGACCTATGAGCCCTGTAAACGCCTTATGTGTCAAATCGCTTCAGAGATCTGCTTAACGAAAAAGAAGCCAGTCTCACCCACACTGCTCATTATTGCCAAACCCCTATTCAAATTCATTATCAAGGCCCCTCTAATAGAACCCTACTATGGATCCTCTGATAGACCCCTTTGAAGGACCCCTTTCAAGGAAGAGCCTCATGCGCAAGAATCCCCGCTGTAATCTTTAGGAAGTGCGGGCGTTTTTCAATCAGGAGCCTGACCTAGCTGCCCTCCAACTCAGACGATCCACATGTACTACCATGATGGAAATATGCCCCCAAAACAGACCATCATCAGTGTGGTTTTCAGGACATTACTTGCGTAAGAATGGTCTTAACCTAGGTTAAGATAGTATGTATGGACCGGCAATAGCCCTCCTTTAGAAGGAGAGGCGTGGTCGGCTGATGACTGAGGGGCCGGTAGGGAGCAGGATTTCGTAGAGACCGCCCTAAGCCCACTACTTGGAGGTTCATGGGTAGTTGTAAGTGGAGTTATAAGTCCTCTAATATGGGTTATAACTATAGTTACGCTACTTATCACTCCGCTTATAACTACCCATGAACCTCCAAGTAGCCCCTAAACCCTACACCCTAACTAAGCCATCCCTAAGAGGGTCTAGGATGCTCCAGCCTGCGCTGCTCGTGGCACTCTGCCAGAAGCCGAGAAAGCTCGGCGCTGCATTCTTCATCAGCGTGCAGCCGAGAAATAGCTCAATACCCTTTCTTGGGCTTGTTATTGCGGTGTAGGGCTTAGGGTGAACAGTCTGCGAATTTATGTAAGGGGAGTTGGTTTAAACCGTACATACCATATAGGCCAAGGTTAAACTTGCATAGGGGTTGTTTGTCGCGCGACTTGACGAGAACAAGGCTTGGATTGAATCGAAAAGCTCGAGGGTTTCGGGGATTCCAAGGGCGATGGGTTCAAGCAGCGCCTGGACGCTGACTTTTTGGGGTTCCTTGTTTTATGATGTCGTTATATGGGTGGTTGTCAAAATTAGGGTCCCTTTTTGGGTACCCATTATAATACGGCACCTAATCTATAGTGTACCCAAAAAGGGACCATAATTTTGACAACCACCATATAGGTGTCCTTAAAAGCCAGGCTCTCGAGGATGCCGGCAGCTCTTACAGACCTCAAAGTTAGGGTTTAGGGTTTAGGGGTTTAGGGTTTTAGGGTTTAGGGGTCTAGGGTTTAGGGTTTAGTGTTTAGGGTTTAGAGTTTAGGGTTTAGGGGTCCGTGCACAGAAGACCTTCAGTCTAAGTAAAGCCACACCACCTTTGTTTCTAGGTCCAGCCACCTTTGGTTGTAAGGGCTTTGCAGAGCTTCATGCGGTTTTGACGTGCTGCACGGGGGGGTTAGCTACAGGGTTTCACTGTTTCACCTCGCCTGGGCGGTAATGAAGGATTATTTCATGGGCTTTAGAGACTTTTTGCTCAGAGTCTTCTGCTTTCTTGACGGTCACTGCGCTAGCCCAACCCCCAAGATCCATATGAACCTTGAAACCCGAAGCCGCAAATCCAAAACAATCCTAAACCCTAAACCCAACTAAATCCGAAAGAAACCTGGAACCTTAACCCTATCCCCGCAACTCGAAAACAATGCTAAACCCTAAACCAACTGAATCCGAAAGAAACCTTGAACCTTAACCCTATCCCGTCAACTCGCAAAAAAGCCTGAGTCCTAATTAAACCATTCGCTCGGCAGCATTTTTGTTCCCCAGCTCGTCGCCCACGTTCCCCAGAGTTCCACTGCCGAGAAATCAGCTGTCGCGCCAAAGCGTTCGCGCATCGGCCGCAGTCTTGCGCGAGTTTGAAATCCAAAGATCCCAAGTACAACGAGGACGTGTACTTAGCGTACATTTGGGCCGTGCTGGTGTATATACTTTGGGTAGATTTGGGCCATGATGCTGTATACTCAGGGTAGATTTTGGGCTAGGCTGTAAGTAGAATTTGGAGTTCTGGTCCAAGTGTTGCGAGACCTGAGTAAAGGACGTATGCTCGGAGGGTTGGTCCAGCGGCTGTGGAAATTATATGGGTTCGTTTAAATGAGGGCTCCTTTAAGGGTCTGGGGTTTGGGGTTTATATAGAATATAGTAGAGTGTAAGGTTTGCATGTTAGGAATTAGTAGTACGATTTGGGGAAGTATCCCCCATGACAGTAGCTAGGTCCCTTTGGTGTTTAGCAGTGTTAAGAAGGACAGACAACGGATATGGGGTTCAGGGTGCTTAGCGTATACGGTTTGGGATACGCAAAGGACCCAACGGGTCCCTGTAACAATAAAGCAGGTACTTAGCGCATATTTGGCCCCAAAAGTATATATTATACCTTCCCTTGGGCCCTTTGGGACAGTAATGTTGTAGTTCCCGTACATATGACAACACTTCTGTGAAGCCGTCACTTTTGAGCAGGGACTATACTTGTATGTAGCAAGGTAGAGTGACGAGCTTGCAGTATGAACAGCCTGCTATCAGGTTTTAGGCAGATACCTCCGGGCTCAAAGCCTATAGCGGTGAGTTCGAGTTCAGATGGCTGGCTAAGGCTGTCCATACATACATGTGTGTGTATATATATATATATATACATAGAGATCTAGATATATGCATATTAACTACTCTCTCGCTTTCCGTTGCTATCGGGGTTTCGGACTCTGCTAGGGACACCAATTATTGAAGAATGAAGCTCTAGATGTCTTTTCTAAGGCGAGGGATTGGGGTTTAGGGTCAAGGTCTCAAGTGAGTATAGAAGACTGAGTATAATTAGCAATTTTGGTCCAAACACCATTAATGAGTGCTTACAGCATTGGAGTAAACATTATACCTACCCTAAGGCCCAACATAGGCCAAACACCTTGCAATAGGTACTAGGGCTTGAGGGTTTAAGGTTTAAGATTTACCCGTAGGCTCTAAGCACTCATAGTTTAAGGCTTTTGGGCCCAAAGACCATACTATATAAGGCTTTGGGGCTTTATGGCCTATAGCACCCTAAGCCCGAACTGAACCGCTCAACACCTACATTCCAATCACGGAAATAACAACAAGACAACCTACGCTATGATGCAGCCAAACATGTAGGTTTCATACGGTTCACTAAACCCTAAAGCGAAAAAACCTTGAAGCGTGAGCCCTAACATACGGCTCAGGTACCCACCTTTTTGGGATTACCGTATAGGATTCTAGACATGAACCCCCGAAAGGAACTACTATGGGGCCTAGGGGGAAGCCCGAAGCCCTCCCTGACCTGGCAGCATGCCAGCGCTGCATCATAGCATGATTGGTCTGGAGTAATATCCGCTTCCGGCAGTGTGTGAAAGAGCAGCAGACCCTCGGCTCTGGTATACTGTCGGAGAATTCAGTGATTAGACTTCTGTTGTTGGGGTATATATTCACCTATATGTAAATAGATAGTAAAACCCAATCCCAACGAATACTGCACTTACTTTAGATGGGGCCCCCACCCTGTAATACTGGAGTAGGAATATAATAGGGCCCCAATACATTCCTATTATACCACTATTACAGGGTGGGGCCCCCTCTAACGAATACTGCACTTACCTGAACCCCAAAAGTATGTAGAATAATTGCGTTTTATAGGTTCTGGGCCATTATTTTACCTACTTTTAGGGGTCTAGGTACTACTTACCCAAAGGGTCCAAAGTAGCTTTATGGTAGAATGTAGGGTTTCTATATTAGGAATTACTATTATGATTTGGGGAAGTGTTCCCCATAACAGTACCTGGGACCCCTTGTGGCTTAGTCAGGCTTCTACAGCAAAAGCCGAAATCCGGTTCAGGGCTGCAGGCGGAGGGTAGACACTCACGGCCAAGGTGCGCAAAGGTTTGGGGGAACTAAAGGTTAACCTTTTTTTGGGTATTTAGGGATTATATAGCTTTTTGGGTTTCGGAAGCCTGACCTGCGTATGAAAATCTGCATGAGCACGGAGCTACAAGCCAAAACTGAAAATTCCAGGCAGGTTCGGGAAAGTTCGAAGAGAGTTGCTTCTGAATGTAGACTCGGCAAAACTAAACTTAAAACCCCGAACCTTTGAACCGCACAAGTCCCTGTCATGGAACCCCTGTAGAAACCAACATGGGATTTAAAACTCCAAAGAAGTGAATGCAGGATGCAGAACCTCAAATCACACCTGAACTCAAACAAAGGAAGCATGGGCCTCTAAAGGCCGTAGCGTTAGTTCGGAAATGCACACAGAGGGTCCATATGTACTAGCACTATGGAATTATGCCCCGAAAGACCAAACTTATATGACCTAACTCCGCGATGGTAGTATATATGGACCATTTGGGGAAGTTGAAACGGATTCCGAAAGACTCTTGTGTTTTAGGGTAACCTCAATTAACCCCAGATAACCTATATACCTGTGTACTAGCTTCTACAAGGAAGTCATATAAGAACGAACCCTAGACATCCACGTTCCTTAGGGATTCTTGACCCTCAGCTCCTCCAAGGAGCCAGCTGCCACTGCTCGCCGCGCTGGAGTGCGTTGATCGACACGCTGTAGCCTTGGCTGATCTTTTTAAGGGACGAGATGAATCCCAAAAAGGCTTACGGCACATATATCATACTCAGCGTGTAAGGGTACAGGGCGGGCCGCTAATTACTTTCAGGGTCATTGTAGTCCCTAGGGTTTTCCGTGCAGCCACTCCAGTGTCTATTGCTTTGGGGTACTTTCAGGGTGCGCGGGCTTTTTTTTGCGGGGGGTTGCCATTCGACTGAGATTAACGTTTACCATGTTGCAATCAAAAGGACCCTGAATCTAAAGCGGTGTGAAACCAAGTGGCTGACCGCGCTTGGTGTCACACGGTCTCCTGGCACAAGCTGTGAGACTTGGAAGTTTAATGTCTAGGTTCCCAAGTAAACCCTTAATAATGAGGAACCCGTTTTCCGATTATTCAGTTTTAATAAGGAGCCCCCAAACAGAAACAGGGCAAAAGGGTATGTGTAGCGACATTTTGTACAAAAATCCTACAGGCCTATGCGCCCAAACAGTATGTACTGCGGCCGTTGCATTGTTCTGCTGAGCGTGACTGGGCTCCCACTCTGACTTGGGTACATGGAGCGAGCCACTTAGACCCTAAAGGGAACTCCAGAAAGTTGGAATATGGTTTCAGGGTAGGATACCCTATATTTTACCTTAAAAGGTTTGGGATAATCATATTCCAACTTTCTGGCGTTTACCTTAAGCCATTATAGAACCCTTTAAAGGAGCCCTTAGGCAACCGTATTTGGTGTGCTTGGGCACATGGACCTTTAGGGTTATCCAGAAAGCACAAGAGCTCCTTTCAAGTCCCTCCCCTCCTCCGTTGGTTCCAGCTCTCTACGCATCCTGGTCTTGAATGTCCGGTGTTGTAGGGGTATAGCAAAGATGAATCATCGGATTTGAGAGGGGTAGAGAATGATTAAAGGATACTTTGCTACTCTGCAAGCATTCTAAGCTCTAGCCTCTAGCCTTCCACTACACTGACCAAACAAAGATCCTTGTTCTCAGTGCTGAAGCCCCGGAAACATAGAGCGAAAAGCTTCCCAAACCTCAAAACCCCAAACCCTAGAACCCTGCAAGCTACCCCGAACCGGAAAGCCAGATCCCTAACCGCCCTAACCCTATACAACCCCTCAATTATGCCACTGGTTCCCTCAACGGAACCCTCTATTTGAGGAGGATGCCCCAGTACTCCAACCCTTGTAACTCAGAAGCGCATAATCAAGCTCTATAGCAATATAGTACCCATTTTTCACTACCCAAGGCCCTAAATCCCTGAGCAACTCCATAACACCTTGACTATAGAAGGGCAAGGTAGAGGCAGACCTTTGCTCGAAAGAGCTTTACATACAACCTGAACCCTAAAACCCTACGCCCTAAACCTCAACACCCTAAACCCCAAAACCCACCATATAGGAACCCTTAAAGGAGCCTCTAATAGAACCCTTTAAAGGAACCCTTAAAGGAAAGAACCCTTAAAGGAACACTTCAAGAAGCCCTAACCTCGAGGCCCTCAACCCTCGCTCGCGGCTCCTGACATGGATCGCAAGAGCTCCAGAGCCAGTTGCCACTCTGCAGCTCTCTGACAAGCCTGAACGCGGAGCTCATGGGCTTCAAAATTTTAATTCATGTATACTAGACTAATACTGTTGGTAATGATGATATCAGTATGAACAGATCATTACTTATCATAATAACAAATGATGGTAACAGTGAATGTATGTATACATGTATATATATATATATATATATGCACGCACGCATACATCTGCACGTAACAAACATTTATTTATTTATTTATATATATATGTACACATTTGATAAGAATGAATACATATATACACTTATATCTATATATTTGACCCTAAGTGTCCACCAAAATTATTCTGAGGAACTCATGGGCTTCTAGGCCTCCTTAGGGCAGCAGCAATAGCATCTCTTTTCAAGTCAAGGCTCTTATCCTAAGGGTTCTATGTGAGTTTCCGAAAAATATGGGTACCTTATCTGGGGTCCTGATGATAAGGATCCTACTATTTAGCGTACTATATTAGGATCCCCCATTTTCGGAAACTCCTCTATAGGGGTCTTAGGGTTTGGGTTTATGGTTCAGGGCTTAAGCTTTCGGGGGTTTGCGGTTTAGGGTTTGGGGCTTAGGGTTCGGTTCACGGTTTATGGGAGTTTCCGAAAATAGGGGACCCAAATATAGTCCCTAAATTACAGGAACCTTATGATTAGGAACCCAAAATAAAGTACCCCGTATTTTCGGAAACTCCCTTAGGGATAGAGGCTCATACCCACGCCTTTTTTGAGGTACCTACTATTCTATATAACAGATGCCAACCATAAAACTAAGTATCTTTAAAAGGGCGCTAGGGTATGAGCCTACAGGTAGGGTTCATAATTGCGGGACTAGGGCTCGGGATTCAGACTTTTTGGGGTGAGGGATTCGGGTACTACACAGTCAGTGACTGACGGTGGCCTGTTGAGGCTTCTCTAAGGGTGCTTTAAAGCCAAACAAAGGCTCCCAAGTGCGTGATATGGCGTGATAACCCGGTGGTTAGATTTAGGATCCGAGGATGTATCTTCAAGGGTTCTTGCGGCATTTTTGAGATACATACAGGGTCTTATAGTTAAACCAAACAAAGGCTCCCAACATATTAAGAGTTTCTTCAAAAAGATTTCCTAGATATGATGATTGATCAGGTACATGGACCCTGAGAACTGAATTGAAGCTACCGTACATTATAAGACTCGTTGTTACAAACTAACCCAGAGGGTCCAAGTACCCAAATAGCAGGGTTTCAAGGTCCAAAAACCATTCAGAGTATGGATTTTGGGTCCTGGAACCCTGCTGTATGGGTACTTGGACCCTCTGGGTTAGTTTAAGTGGGGACCATTTATAGAGCGGATCTTGGAGGGCTTAATGAGCAATGTTCGGCTTTAAGGTGTAGGACCGTAGTCTACGGGATACCGTAGTTTTACGGGATAATTCAGTTTCTTCATGTGCGTCACCTGTTAACAGGAAACCAACGTAGTAATCACAGATGCATATGTATATGCATACATATATATATATATACACATGTGTAAACTAAAAGTGGTAGACTAAACCGTCTATACCAGTACGGTATCTACGCGTATCTACTACACCGAGAAGGTTCCCTGAACACAAACCCAGAAGCCCTTTCCTTGAACAAAAACCCAGAAGCCCTAAACCCTACTTGGAGGGTCGGGGGACTTAGTAACTGGGTAGTAAGTAGACTTATAAGTACCCTAAAAGGGACCCTATTTGGGGTTATGGTACTTATAACTCCGTAAAATATCCAGATACTAAGTCCCCTAAACCCTAAACCTTTACAGAATCCCTATAGATCCCTTTAAAAGGGCCCTTAAGGAACCCCTTATAGTTACTAAGTCCCCCGACCCTCCAAGTAGGCCCCATCCGCCCAGAAGCATTGATGACCATGTTGTAGCTCGGCGGGATTCGCTGTACGGAGTTCCTGCTCCACGAGCGAGGCCGAGGAAAAGTTTCAAACCAAAACCGGCTCTAAACAATACAGGCCCCAGAAGCACCAGGAACTTTAATGATTAGAATAAGGATTTAGGGTGCATTCGACTTGAAGTATACTACGGTTGATGATCTAATTCCGGATCCTGCATTGCCTTAATGACGCTAGACTGTGGAAATTATGGTTAATTCCTCATTCTGGATAATGCAGGATTTATATCATGAACCGTAGGGCCCAGTATACTTCTAGTCGGTTACGAGGTAACCGGAGCATGCCAGGCTCAAGGAGCTTTTCTCGCTGCGGAAACTGCAATAGAAGTTTATAGGGTACTTAGACCCCCCAACTACCCTTGAATACGCCCTAAATACCCACTATTAAGCCCCATAAGGGCTCCATTAAAGGGCCATTGGGGGTCCTGGTAGTTGGTGGGGTTTCAGCATCAAGCAAATCGGTTAGGAGCTGCTCAGCTGCAAAACTTCATGATTGCTTCATGGCAGCAAGTTGTTTTTGCGAAGTCCGTCGCAAGGCCTGTGAAATTCCAAAAGCGAGCGGGATCGAAACACATGGGTGACGAAATGTACCCGAAAAGAGTCCGATTACCATGGGGCATGTGGTCCTTAAGCATGGAACCATCCTCATCTGCAAAACCCGAAAACTCCAGAGTCCAGAGCAATAAAAATCAAAACACTACCACCTAGACCCCCAAAAGTATGTAAAATAATGGCCCAGAACCTATAAAAGGCAATTATTCTACATACTTTTGGGGTTCAGGCCGTGTCTTGCTCTGCCTGGACATGGAACGCAAGAGTGCCAGGCTTCGCTCCCACTGTGTGCCCTTGTCGAAGGACATCCTCGGGTCTCTGCTGACATTTCCACAAGGTTAAAGATCCCTTTAAGAAACCCTAAACCCCTATAGATCCCTTGAAAGGAACCCGATTCCCTACTGTAAGTTATAGGATTATTAAGGGCCTCTATTATAGTACCCTTATAGATCCCCCAAACATGTTTCAGGCCTAGGGCTTCCGTGGTGTCCCTTTAAAGGGATCTATGAGGGTACCTTGAAGGGGTTCCTTGAAGGGATCTATAGGGCTTTAGGGCTTTCCTGTAGTCTCCATTGTAGTTCCTCGTTTTGGTTAACCAACTTTGTAGAATAGGATCCTAACCATAAAAATGGTTGACCAGAAACGGCAATTGCAATGGAGACTGTAGGTAGAGTGTCAGGACTACTTTTTACTGCTTTAAACATCGCACCATAGAAGGTTTTGAGCCTTAGGGAGACACACGACGATAGCTAGAACCGCAGCCCCCGAAACCTCAATTTGATCAAACCTCCCTGCTGTCAAGCCCTCTGTGTCCTGTCTCTTAGCTAGCTTAACCTATACTGAACTTAGAACCCTAGCAAAAAATATAATTTGAGCTGTTTCTTATGGATTGTCTGTCTCTTAGTTAGACTTGTAGGTTACCACAAAGCACACACACACACGGACGGAATATGAGGACCCTCCCAGCTATCGACGAGTTCCTGAAGCTTGTGAGACGAAGCTCATGCTGCCCATGATTATGATTCTTACCTATAGTCTCCATTGTAGTTCCTTTTTGGGGTTACCTTTCAGGATCCTTAATATGAATTTGGTTTTAAACCGAAAAAAGGAACTACAATGGAGACTATAGGTATGGTCAGTACCCTACTTTCTGGGGGAGGGTTTGGGCTTTCGGGGCTAAGGTTTGGGATCCACTACCAGGGTCCAGGAGCCTTAAGGTAGTGAAGACCTTATCAGTACTACCATTGTAACTTAGATTAAGATTATGGTGATGAAGAAACCTGTTGAGTGCCTTTTCCCGACCGAGCTGCTAAACAAAAGCTTCTACAATCCCAAAGGGTCCAAAGTACCTGTATGGTAGAATGTAGGGTTTCTATATTAGGAATTACTATTATGATTTGGGGAAGTATTCCCCATAACAGTACCTAGGACCCTTTGGGAATGTCATCTTCAATCTTGAACCATACACCCTAGAACCTAAACGCTGAACTGTAACAGTAAACCCACAACAGAAAAACGCACCGAACCTGGAGTCGTATACCCTACCCTTCTCCCCAAACCCTACATCCCCAAATCCCTAATTAAGCCCTAAACCCTATACCCTAAGCCTTACCTTAACCCCGAAGAACCTACCTTTTCAAGGACTTCTATAAGGAAGTCATAATAAGGAACCCGAAAAAGGTAGGTCATTCAGCGCAAAGGTAAGCAAGCCCTACGCCCTAATCTAGACCCAAGAGTAACCTAGGAACACAAAGGGTGCCCGTTTTGGTTTAAAGGGGCTTATACGGGAACCTGAACCCTAAAACAGGCAATAAGGGCCTACTCCAGGTCCTCGTAATTCCTAATCCCGAAACCAATCTAGAGACTCCTGGAGCAAAACCCTTGAAGGTACCGTAAAAAGGATCACTAGGGTTTAGGGTTTAGGGTTTAGGGGTTTAGGAAAGTTTAGGGGCTTCGGGTGGATCATTAGGCTTGCTCTTGAGGCTCATGGCAGCGTGGTACGTGACAGCATCCGGGCGGAGCTGCTTGTCCACCAGCGAAGCCCACAGGAGCCTCACTAATGCCCTAAGGGTCCTTTAAAGGACCCAATAGATTCGTGTCGTTTAAAGGTTCATTAGGGTTCCTTTACAGAGTTCTATAAGGGGTTTAGAGGATCTTATAGTAGGTTTTAAGGGTCCAAAGGACCCAATAATTGGGTACTCGGGTTTAGGATAGCAGTTATGTAGCTTATAATACTATTTTGGAGAGTGTATGATAATCAGGTACTTGAACCCTTTGGGATGGTTTTGGGTTAGACCTTATAAAGCCTACTGTTTTCGGGTTCCTTGTTTTTCCTTGTGCAAGTCCTTGAACAGGTAGGTTGTGGGTTAAGGCGGGTTTAGGATTTGGCGTAATTTAGGGTTCAGATGGTTTAGGGTCTAGGGCTTCGGGCCCCTACAAACTCAGATGAAACCCCAGCCCTTTCAAACCCTCGACTGGACAAGGCGCAAAATCCCTAAGCAACGTCGAAGGGCTTAGTGACTGTTTGGAGGCTGAGGGTTTACTGAACATGCGCAGTCCAGGGTCAAACACCGATACCGATGACCAAGTTCCCAGTCAGGCTACTTCCCCTAAGGGTCTCGGTGCCTAGTACTACTGCGGTTGATGATAAAACTCCTGCATTTCCTATACTAAGGAATATACCATAATTCCCATAGTTTAGGGTCCTTAAGGTAAAGCAGGATTTATATCATCAACCGTATCCGTAAACCCAAGTACCTAATTTGGGGATCCTTTGGGCTCTTAAAGTTCCAGCTCGTATAGGGTTTAGGGAACTATATAAGTGGGCTTCCAGTGAATGCTCAGGGGGGGGGGGGTGGCGTGGGTTGTGTATGATTTCTGCAGACTTCTCCACAAAATAAACGACTCTGCTTCATAATATGTGGGTGGTTGTCAAAATTATGGTCCCTTTTTGGGTACCCTAAATATTAGGTGCCGTATTATACTGAGGAGCCGAAAAAGGAGCCTAATTTTGACAACCACCCATGTGGGTTTGACTCCCTGAGCCCTGAAGCCAAGCTGTGAGTGTCTGTTTGGACTCCGCCCATCCTGCCGGGACTCGATCTCCAGTACTTGGAGGATCGTGGGACTTAGTAAGTAAGGTTATAAGTACCTTAATAGGGGTTATAAGTAGTTATAAGTATAGTTACCCTAATTATAACCCTAGTTACTAAGTCCCATGATCCTCTAAGCAAGGTTGGGACCTGATGGGCCTTTATTCGGGTTCCTTTAAGGGGTCTATAAGGGTAACGATAAGGGATCTTTAAGGGTGCTAAGAAATCTTGGGAGTTTATTAGGGCTCCTTAGAAGAATCCTACTATGTTGGGGGTTCTAGGCCCAGGGATTCTTAATCAGGTTCCTACCCTAAGGCTCCCGGACCCTCGTAGCGAGGTCCCGAACCCTAGCCCCCAAAGCCGGAACCCTCCCCCAGAAAGCCCAAGACCCTATTAGGAGCCTTAGGGTACAATAGGGTTGGGACCTCCTGCTTAAAACCTTCGGAGACACAACGACCAAAGAGCAGGTTGCGACGATGGCATTCAACCCTACTTGGAGGATCGTGGGACTTAGTAAGTAAGGTTATAAGTACCTTAATAGGGGGTATAAGTAGTTATAAGTATAGTTATAACCCTAGTTACTAAGTCCCATGATCCTCTAAGTAGACAGCCCTCAACCATCCATGAAGAGCACAGCGCGCCCTGTTCCGAACGGTGGTCCATCAGCACAGATCGGCACGAAATAATTCCTGCAAGGCTTCCGCACAGTCACCACCGCCCCAAACCTGGTGCTTCTGGGGAACAATGACACATCAGGATGCAGAAGTCTGGAGTATTGCGCATATTTGTTCTGTGGAGCCAATGTTCTCAGGTTTCGCTAATAAACTTCTAAACCACAAACAAAAACACACATCACCAAACTGGGGCCAGAAACAATTACCGAGCCATCCAAGAGGAATGCGACGAAGGCAGAGGCAGTAGCACAAATTTCTTGCACGTCCTTCAGCTGACCTTGCACTGCACTGCTGTCGCCCCCACCATCAGCGTGGCCCCAGGTTACAACAGAGCCATCCCCCAGAAGCGCTGCAAAGGCAGTGCGTGTGGCGTGGAGCTCCTTCACGTCTTGAAGCTGTGTTTGCACAGCAGTGCTATCCCCGCCAGAGCGAAATTCGCCCCAAGACACAACCGATCCATCGGAGAGGATGGCAGCAAATGCCTCGTCGGACGCTTGGACTTGCTTCACGCCTTTCAACTCTTTTGCAAAGACACGGGCCCTGAGGCTGGGAAAGTCTCCCCAACTCGCCAGGGATCGGTCGGAACGAACTGCGATGAAAGCCATAGCTGATGCATGCACGTGGCAAACGTCCTGGAGCGTCTCGGCGAATTTGCCTCGCTTACACAGCAACCTCTGATTCATTAGGTCTTGCTTAGTTGCATTGAGGAGACACCACAATAAAAGGGGTAAGCGACCCACTACTCGGACACCTAGTCGCTATCACCACCGTAGTCAGGCCAGCCCCACGCCACGACAGAGCCATCAGCACGAAGTGCAGCAAAAGCCGCGACGGTAGCGCTGAGCTCTCGCACACCTGTCAGCCTGTCTTGCACATAGTTGCTGTCTCCACCTTCTTTAGGGCATAGGGGGATGGCCTAGGGCATAGGATTCAGGGTTGTAGGATCGAGGGTTTAAGGGATTCAGGACATACATACTAGAGTTTAAGGCCAAGCTAGGGTGTAGTCCACCTTCTTCATACCCGCCCCATGTCACCACAGACCCATCGCTCAAGAGAGCGGCAAAGGCCTGCTCTGTTGCCTGCAGCTGCTGCACATTGTGCAGCTGCGCTGCTACGGAGCTGCAATCACCTCCTGACTGGGTTCTTGTTAAGGGTTTAATTCTCAAGCTACCATAACGGGGATCTTTAAAATATTGTTTCCTTATTTTAGTATATAACTTACAGTCAATCCTTTAACAAGAACCCAGCCTGACTGAGGATCGCCCCATGTAATAATAGACCCATCGCGACGAAGAGCAGCAAAGGCACCGAAATTCGTGGCTTGGAGTTCTTGCACGTCCTTCAGCTGAGCTTGGACATCAGTAATGGAACCACCATGGGCTGGAAGGCCCCAAGTAACAACAGAGCCGTCCCCCCGAAGTGCGGCAAAGGCCCCATCGGTGGCTTTGATCTGCTTTACATTCTGTAGCTGCTGCTCCACTCCTTGGCTGTCTCCCCCGATCCAGGAGGTACCACACGTCTTAACACTTCCGTCGCCAAGGATTAGAGCAAAGGCCCGTCTGTTCGTTGATCGAACTTCCGCAAGTTGCACTTTTGCTCGGTGCCATGACAGCACATCGCCAGTTTGCAGACCTGCGTCCCTGACAGTCCCCACGCCAGCGAGTGTGACACCACCGGGAGAAAGCAGCCTCCCTCTTCCAACCTTCAGGGCTTCTCGCACTTGAGATCGCAGATCATCCAAAGAGGACCCGGGGTCAACCGAAAGGCTCGTGCTCTTGCCACTCAATAAGGACACTTCCACCTGTATCATGTGCCGGACAAGCTACCGATAGATTCCAAACTGCCTTACTGACGGCTGTCCCCGAACCCATCCTTAAATGTCACAAAGAAGGATCGCCAAACCCTAGACCCTAAACCCCTAAACCCTGAACCTTAAACCCTAAACCCTAAACCTTAAACCCTAAACCCTAAACCCCTAAACCCTAAACCCCTCAACCCTAAACCCCTAAACCCTAAGTAGAACAGATTTGGTGTGCAGATGGTCAGGACCTGCTTCCATGTCCGCTCAACAGGACCTCTAAGGGTCACACGGTTTAGGGTTTAGGGTGATTACCATAGGGTTTAGGGTTTAGGGGTTTAGGGTAATTACCATATACTCTCCAAAACAGTAACCTGCATAACAGCATTGTCCTAAACCGACCTTTAGACCCTACTGCAAAATCCCCTAAACCCCTTAGAGAACCTCATAAAGGAACCCTAATCATTGTGTCCTTTGGGCCCTTAAAGGGAACCCCTTTCCAGAACCCTGGACCCCGGCCTTTCTGAAAGCGTCTCCATAGTGAAAACCACAGGAGCCCTAACAGAATCCCTTCTTACTAATTTCTAGTTGTTCTTTATCGGAGATTTTACCTTATGATCTTATTTCTTAGTAATTTAGTCAGTTGTAAATATCTATATTTGGAACCTTTTAAAGTACCTATAAAGGAACCCTAAACCCCCTAAAAGGAACCTTTAGCCCCTTAAAGCAACCCTATAGACCCCCCTTAGGGATAACCTAAACCCTCAACCCTAAAGCCCAGGACCTGAGCCCTAAACCTTATCGCGCACGAGTTTTGAACCAGACGGCTGAGGAGTTTTGATCGGGCTCTGTGTCCCCCACCTGAAGGCTCCTGGACCCTTGTAGTGCGATCCCGGACCCTAGCCCCCAAAGCCGAAACCCTCCCCCAGAAAGCCCAAGACCCTCTTAGGAGATTAGGGCAGCTTCAACTTAGGGTTTAGGGTTTAACTTCTTTTAAAGTCTTCAGGGTTAGGGTTTAAGCCTCTGGGTCCAGGGTATACGTCTCTAGGGTTTAGGGTTTGGAGGTTTTAGACTGTTCCTTTGAGGATCCAGGTACCACAGGATCACGTGTCCCAGAGGGTCCGAAGTAGCTATATAGCAGAATGTGGGATTTCTGTGAGGAATTACTATCATGCTTTGGGAAAGTATCACCCGAAAACAGTACCTAGGACCCTTCGGGCTAGGGTAGGGCTTACGGTTTACAGCTTGGGGTTTCGAGTTCGGTTTTTCGATGCCTCGGGGGGGGGGGGGGGGGGGGGTGGGGTGAAGATTGTGTGGAGGATGTCAGTTAGTCAGTATGATAGGTTTTTGGCTTTATGGCTATGTTCTACTATGAGTTTATACCAGCTGAGGAAAGGCTTAAGGGATAGTGTGAGTGAGTAGACATTCCTGGAGTAAGGGCTGGCTCCCCCCCTTAAGGATGTTAAGACGAGAGGCTCCGATTGACTACTTCTAAGGGCCTTGTTATGACAAGGGTATATTGAGGTCGCTGGTTTTCAACTCTCTAAGCCCTACAGAAACGATCATGACACTTAGTGATCAGGAAATAAGGTCGAAGCTATAACTAGGACGTGCTTTTAAAGCCATTGAAAAATATTAGTAAGTAAGATCCTCTTGAGCCCAATAAGAGCACGTATAAATGGTCCCAAATTACTACCGAGTATAAGCAAGGGGTATCTTTGCGCAGTCGCTTGACCCTCCAAGTAAGAAAGCAGCGCGTGTGTAAGACAGCAGCTACTATGCATGAAACTCAGCCTCAATGCTGAATTCCTCTCAGAACCATAATAGAAATAATACGTTGAATATTCTCTTGGGTTTATATGAGCTAAAAATATTCCTAAGGAGACTATAGAATGATTATTGCGAAGCCAGAGGCTTATGCAGTTTCTTTGCAGCAGGAGCCCTGAAACCGATGCATATGGCCGCCTTCAGGGCTGAAGTAGTGGATATACACTCCTAATGCAGGCAACATAATGTAGATGTAGGAACCTGATTAAAAGAAACCCTGGACCTTCACTAGGGCTCCTTACATGAATCCTACTATTTTGGCGAAATAGACCCAGGGTTTCTTAATCAGGTTCTCCTACATTAGAAGAATTGAATGACAGAACAGGATTCGTAAAATGTTGTAGTGTGCATACTAAAAGAAAAACATAAGGAACAGTAGTCCGAATTGTTCAGTGTTCATACTTCCTCTGCCGTTGAAGCAGACCCAGACTGCGAACCTTCCGACTAGCCCTCTTAACGAACCCAGGACCTTCAGCCGAAACTGTACTTGAAACCCCTAAAACCTACGCTTGTCTTATGGTTTCCTTGCACTGTTCCTGAAAGACGTAGGTTGTTTACTTGGGGCTCGGGTATGCCCGAAAACTTCAACCCCAAAAAATAGATCAAATTTTCAACTGGCGGGTGCACTTTCCTTCATGACTTACTTGAGCCACGCTTGCTTTCAGGTTTCGTGGAAGCTACAGGCAAGGCCCGAAGTGCTGCCATCAGGGTTAGGACTACAAACATGTCTATGGTCACTTCCAGCACAACTACCCTATGTGCCTTAGGTATCTATGTAAATCGATAAATCGATGTCGGTATAAGCCCAGCAGCAAGGACCGTTCCCACTGCTCCTCACCACTTGAGGCTCCAATGGCCATGCTGTAGCAGATAACATCTGGAGATACCCGTGCTTTGGGCATCGAATTCCTTTGGGGCCGAGGGTGCTCGGGCACGAGAGCAGACGACTGTGGCTTTCTAGGGTTTGGGGTCTTGGGGGTCAGGTTTTGCCCAAGAGCTTGACGCCTAAAACCAACAACCTAAAACCTGCACCCTCACCATCTGGGTGGTTGGCAAAATTGGGGTCCCTTTTTGGGTCCTTAATAATACGGCTAATACGGCACCTAAGATTTAGGGACCCTAATGTTGACAACCACCCATCTAGAGCAGAAGAGTGACAGGGTCTTGATTTGAGGCCTTCGGGGCTTGGGCTGTTGGTTTTGGGATGTTTCGGAGGATGTCTCAAGTTGAAAGTTGAAGAGGGGTACGTTTCGGTTAAGACTAGGTTCGGAGCTTTTAGATTTTCGGTTTTATGGGTTTGGACCGTTTAGGTTTCAGAATTCGTAGGCTTGCGTGGGTTGGGGAGTGAAGCTTGTGGGTTTGGGTTCACCCAGAGGCCCCATCGTAGTTCCTCTTTGAGGATATGATTATAGGATTCTAGATTTGAAACCCCAAAAAGAACTACTATGGGGCCTATGGGCAGTCTGAATGTAGCAAAGCCGCCATGAGTTACCATCGAACCTGGGAGCTCAATCCTCTAGTCGGTCGGATTGCCAGGGTTTAGGGTTTAGGGTTTAGGGTTTAGGGTTTACACCTTTTTGGACGGTCTCGTCTTGATCATACATAACCTGCAACTATAAGTTGCTATACTACATTCCTGGGTCTAGGTAGGGTCTAGTTAGTACTGTGGTGTCGGGAGATTACGCGCTGCAAGTCGCAGCCAAATTCAATTCCTTGCCAACCCAGGATCTTTACACACTCGAATACTTTGAACTACGGCTTGGAGTCATTTGCCTTGTGCTTAGTGGCTTAGTCTTGATGGCTGATGGCTGGAGGCTTTCGGCTGTTAGTAAGATTGGGGTCTGCGTAAGTGTCCCTGGAGCCTGCATTATGAAGCAAAGGCAGCCCAGTCTCAGCAGTTCGAAAGCCAAAGCCCAGTGTTTGACAAGCTCGAGAGATTTCAGCACTGCGTTGTAGGACATCACGTCGCATGCGAGCTTTCCATCCCTCGCAGTACCTCTCTTGAAATCTTGATGAGCAGGCATAATGAGAAAACACTTCTGCGGTATGTATGGTCAGAACTACCTGGACCTAGACACTGAGGCACCTACCAAACGACCGATATAGCGAAATCATAACAAGGAGCCCTAGACATCTAGGTACCTTTAGGTCACGATAAACCCTAAGCCCTCAATCCTAACTGCAACTTGCTAACACCTTAGACACCCCCCCCAACTACTCACTAATACACCCTAAATGCCCGAAATTTAAGGGCCGTAAGGGCTCCATATTGGGGGGTCCTGGAGGGAGGCACAGCTAGGATGTGGGTGAGGATGTGGTGCTCAGGAGTTCGAGGCCCCGTGACCCCGAGGCCTGCTTCTTACTAAACCTAAACGCTAAACCCTAAGGCTCCTAAGAGGAGGGTTTAGGGTTTAGGGCTCCTTTAGGGGACCTTAGGGTTTGAGGGTTTTTGGGTTTACCCTAAGGCTCCTAAGAGGGTCTTGGGCTTTCTGAGGGAGGGTTTCGGCTTTGGGGGCTAGGGGCTAGGGTCCGGGATCTCACTACAAGGGTCCAGCTGCCTTAAGGTAAGCCCTAAACCAGTTTTGGGCGCACACCAGGTCTGATGATATAGGGATTGTGAAACGACCCTTGCAGTGTATCCGAAGCCAGAAACTTGTTCAGATTTGCGATCATTTGATGGTTTATATACTATTTTGTAAAGTATGTGAGAATTAGGGACTTGGACCCTTAAGGGCAAGGAACGGAAGATAGTTGAGCAGCCTTTTACCCGTAGAGAAACAGTCAGTCAATACCCAAAGCCACATCAGACATAAACACGATACGCAAAACGACAAGGGCCCAAGACACAAGCCCAATAGAATCTATGTTGGTCATTATGAATAATCCATCATCTGAGCCCTATCACCGGAGCCAAGTGGCGAAGAATCTCCACTGCCGATTGCCAACGCGACTCGACTGCCGCGGCACTGATAGCGGCATTGTAACTGATGACATTTGGCTGGACCTCACTGGCCAAGACTTGTTGGCCGACTGCTGGTTTTCGGGTTAGGGGTCAGGGGTTTAGGGGTTTAGGAGTTTAGGGTTTGGCGCTGATTACCGTTCAAACAAGATGTCGGGTTAAAGGTTTGTGGTTTAGGGCTCCGTATCAAGGACCCTATCAGTCTACAGGCATGCAGAAACTGGTAGTATAAGGGCCGGAACAGCTAGAGAATGGTTTTGCAGCTTTTTTGGGGGTAGCACGTTTAGCCAGAGTGGGCAACTAATTAGTGGGGATGAGTGCTGAATATAGAGACCTTCATGGAGCAGGTCTTTCCGCACCAACAGCATATGCTAAATGCGACTTTGACGTGCGCAGCCCGTAGATCCTAAGCCGGCAACAAAGGTGTTTGCACATGCCATTCAAAAAACAAACACACGAGCGAGCAAACAACACACACAAACGCGAATCATCAAACGACAGGGGCCACAGGAACTGACGAAACAACCAACGAAACAAGCAAACGACCGACCAACCAAGCGAACCCACATGCATGCAAACCTACATCTGCACAGAGATGGACCTGAGCTTCCGTGACCCCAAGATAGAGACCTGAAATAACTAGAATAGGGTTTTGGGGCCCATTAAACTATAATTATGACAAGGAACCCCCCCAAATAGTAAAGGTAACTATTGAGGCCTCTATTTTAAGTTCAGAAGCTCAAGCCTTTCATGCTGAAGCGTGAAGCCTCAACCCGTATACCTTAATCTACCCTCCCTTTAACTTCCACACTATGGTTCATACTGGGAACCTACCAAAAAAAAGGTTGGAATTGGGTAGCTTAAAGCCCAAGGGTCCATATGCCCACATAGTATGTACTCCCTATATAGGTACGTTGGGCCCAAAGTATATACTATTTGGGTACATGGACCCTTAGGGAAGGTAAAGCCTACAAGGCTTAAAGTCCCGACCCGTCAGAGCCGCAAAGCCCTGCAGAGGCCTTCATCAAGCCGAAAGTCCCGTGACCCCAAACCCCAGAAAAGGGCCTTGGGTCCAGAGTTCAGGGTTTAGGGCTTACTTGGAGGTTCATGGGTACTTACAAGTGGAGATATATAAGTCCCCTAAATATCAGTCATAATGAACCTCCAAGTAGGGTTTAGAGGTCCGATCCAAACAGTCTGCAAACCACCCCCAAACCGGAAACCCACAAGCAGCCTAAGCCCTAATTCTTACCTAGACCTCCCAACTACCCTCTATTACCCGAAGGCTCCAAAAGTTATCATGGGCTTTTCTGGGGGAGGGTTTGGGCTTTCGGGGCAAGGTTTGGGATCTCACTACCAGGGTCCAGGAGCCTTCGGGTATATTCCAAATACCGAGTATTGAGGACCACCAGTGCTCTATTAAAGGGCCTTAGGGGTCCTGGTACACCCTAACCCTAAGGCTCAAAATGGCCAAAAGCCTGATATAGTATGGTCTTTGCACCCAAAAGCCTTAAAATACGAATCCTTGGAGCCTAAGGGGAAACCTAACCTGGATTTTACAACCTAACCCTTCTGCAGGACTTAGATAAGGAAATCATAGTAAAGAGCCCCAAGAAGGAGCCCTGAACCAAACCCGAAACCCACAATCCAGGGCCTGACGCTCAGGCATGACATCGAAGAGACCAAGAGCCTGTTTCGGGTGTTTAGGGTTTAGGGTTTTAGGGCTTAGGGGTTTAGGAGTTCAGGGTGGTTTAGGAGTTTAGGGTTCTGGGGCTTAGGGGTTTAGGAGTTCCGGGTTCAGGGTGTAGGGGTGAGGATTCAAGGTTTAGGAGTTAGAGATAAGGCTTTGGGGTGCAGGGTTGAGGGGTTCATGCTTTAGGGTGTATAATTCTGGGCGTAGGGTTTATAGGGAGTCGGGGTAAAGTTTAGAAATCAGGGTTTACCTTCAGGGTGCAAATATTCTCCTTAGGAGGGTCCGGAATCTCCTAGGGAGCCCTTGGGTCTCTTTGGGGTCTCAGAAACCCTACATATTGAGGTTCCCTAAAGTGTAAGGACCCTTAGGGTAGGGTTCAGCCTTCTCCCAGTGGGCAGCATCGACCATGGCAGTGAGGGTGGTGTTGAAGGAGATTGCCTGGGAGTGGGGCTCCTTTCGGGTTCCTCAGAAGAGTAGGGTTTGGGGTCTAGGGCCCCATGAAAGTACGGTAAAGCTGCCGGAACAAGCCAGGGTCATGGATGGGAATGTAGGTAGATAGGTCTCTGTCTCTCTCGCTCTCTCTCCGTATATTCAATACATGCATGTACGCATGTATGTATGCGTGACCGTTTGCGTGGATAAGACGTATGCTGATTCAGCTGTACTACCCAAGAAAGACTTGCAAATATTTCCCAGATGCTGGGTTCCTGAGTAAACCCTTTGTAAAAAGGGTTCCCTGGTTTCCTAATACTCAGTTTCAATACGAGGATCCTCAAACAAAAGGGCAAAACGGTACTACTGAAACCTAGGGTGCATCTGCAAGGAGACTGTTGGCCGGGATGGAGTTGAGCAAACGCAATGCCCATTGCCAGGCTTCGGCTGCCTTGATGGCGGCCAACGCAGCATTGTAGCTGATAGTGTCGGGTGTGATGGAAACCTGGGCTCTTGTGAAAGAAGTCGAAGGCAAAGCAGGGGAAGCATAGATCCGAATCTTATACTACCCAAAGGCTCCGAAAGTTATCGTGGGCTTTCTGGGGGAGAGTTTGGGCTTTCGGGGATAAGGTTTGGGATCTCACTGCCAGGGTCCAGGAGCCTTAGGGTAGACATCCCGTTAATGTCTGATTCCCTGAAATAATCTAAGTTCTGTAACTCTAGACCCTAAAATAGCTCGAAAGCTAAGTTCCTTAAGAACTGCCCAGGAACTGTCGGCATGAGGTCCAGCAAATGCAGAGCCAACAGCCACTGTGAGCCCTTCTCACAAGAGCTGATACTTGCATTGTAGCCTAGGCTCAGGGCTTCAAGGGGTTCAATTTATTCCCTTAAAGGGGTAATATAGGGGCCTTAGTAAGTAGAATAAGGATTGGGGGAATTATGTACCATGATTATAACAAGGAACCCCCAAAATAGGTTCAGGTTGTAGGGGTTCAAAGTATTCCCTCACCCTAAGGCTCCGAAAGTTGTCATGGGCGTTCTGGGGGAGGTTTGGGCTTTCGGGGCTAAGGTTTGGGATCTCACTACCAGGGTCCAGGAGCCTCAGGGTAAAGGGTATGCATTTTGCCATTACTGTGTTTTTTCCCAGCGGGCCAAGAGCGTAAATGGCTTCTACGAGGCGCACCAAGCAGCTAAAGATATCTGGCACGAAAGAAGACCTGAGCATGCAGCTCAATATTTGGATGCCTGCTTGCCAGGCATGGCCCTTCCGGCAGGCACGAAGAGTGGTGTTATAGCTGACCGCATCTATCTGGGCCATCGCATCGAATTCCTCAGATGGCTAGGCTGGATTTCCTGGTTAAGGTTCCGTAATGTAGAGATTCGGATACCCTAAAGCCTAAACCCTAAGCCCTAAACCCTAAACCGTAAGCCCTAAACCCTAAACCCTGAACCCTTGATGGTCAGAAGAAACCGCTTATGCACATATGGAGTTGTTGTTAAGGTCCGGGCTGTTCCTTGGGGGTTTAGGTCGGGAGGTAGGGTGTTGTGTCTGTTGAGGTTTACCTTAACCCGGAAGAACCTATAAGGAACCCTAGAAAGGTAGGTCTTATTTAGAAAGGTGAAGCTTCGGAGACTCAGCCTTCTAGGTTTCAGGGTTTAGGTGCTGCTATCCCTAAACCCTAAGGCCCCCAAGCCCTACCCCATAAACACTGGAAGATGGCGAGCATCACGCAGAGCATGCTGCCATTGCCTGGGTTCTTGTTGAGGGGCCTAACCATCTTACTTATCAAAACAAAGTAACAAATCCCTATTGATCATGATAAGGAAACCATAGTGTTTACTATACGTCTCTATTCTGGTAACTTAAGTTAAAACCCTTAACAAGAGCCCAGTTGCATGCCTGACTCGTAGGAGTGGAGTAGGGCGTTGTAGCTGTGGACGTTGGGCGAGAGACCGATCTTCGCGATGGATGGAAAGAGCTGCAAGGCCAGTGGCCATCTGGGCTCTTGATAAGGCTGATGGACAAAATCCTGCATTCACCATAAAAAGGCATATACCATAATTCCCATAGTTCAGGGTCCTTGGGGTAATGCAGGATTTTGTCCATCAGCAGTACAGAGCTGACTGCAAATTTGCAATGGGGAAAGCAGGTGATCTACTAGCGCTTTCTCTCTCTCGCGCGATCTCTTTCTCTTTCCCTCTCTCTCTCTCTCTCTGTCTCTCGCTCTCTCTCTGCCTGCATATGTAACATGTATATACCCATACAATATGCCCGTCTGTAGACATCACAATAAAGCAGTACAAGGATAAACACACATATCCCCCGTTTCAACGAAGATAAACCGCTATACAACCCCGTAGGCCCTCATGTATCATGCTGTTGTAGACCGCTTGCTATGGTAAGCAAAATCACCTACAGCCCAAGACACTGAGAGCAGCTGTTGCAGGACCTTGCCACAGTCATTTGTAGGCTGTGGAAAGGTGGGCTTAAGGTTCAAGGCTCGGCTTAAGGCTTTAGCATTTCAGGCTTAAAGGGAACTCCAGAAAGTTGGAATATGGATTAATGGTAGGATACCCTATAATTTACCTTAAAGCGGTTACGATAATGATACTCCAACTTTCTGGCTTCTACTGTAGGAGATGCAACTTCACTGCCAAGACAAGAACATGAAAAGATCACCTCACTGCTTCTGTGTAAATGACTTCGCGATGCATATGGAGTGCTCTGTAATCGGTTTGCTTGCAGGTTCGTGATGGATCCAAATCTCTCAGACCCAAAACGGCCCTTAACCTGTTTCCCTGGCTGCGCCCCCACAGGCTACACTTACGCCTACAACGCTCACCCTAAACCTATGTCTCCCACTTTGAACCTAAACACTGTGAGTGTTTCTAAGCACGGCTACCGAAAATAGGCATAGCCATGCGAAGTCACAACTGCATATCGAAAACCCGCACCCAGACCCTGAAGACACCCATTGCCTAAGCCATATAGCCGAGATGACTTTGCCTAAACCCTATAAACCCTAAACCCTGAACCCTAAACCCTAGCTCTATTGCAGCTATGCCCGTCGCTGACCGCAGGGTGCTTGTTTGCTTGGCTCCTGTTTCTCCCGGTTGTAGCCTCTTCATGCTTCTAGTCGACGGAGTTGATCTGCACATGTATATATATATATATGTATAAATTTATAAATGTATATGTGTGTATATACATATATGTATATATTGATCTATTTATCTATGTGTGTGTGTATATATATATAATATATATATATATATATGTGTGTGTATCTATATGTAGATACTTTCATATATATATATATATATTGTACGCACACATATAGTTACTAGTCTTGCAAAGATTCTAGGTTACAGAACCAGCAAAGACACAACATAGGGCTCTGAAGAAGTAGCAATAACATCCCATTCTAGCCCCTACACATGTATAGCAGCATGTTGTAACCGGGAATCTCCGCAAACAAAAACAAGCAAGCATCACGGCCGTTCACCCTTGCCTTAAACGGCTTCAGAAAACGTTAAAGGAACCCGTATGGGAACCCTGTCAAACATTAAAGGCCCTATAGTGCCCGCCCGAGGACGGCTTCGTTTGAGACCTCACCCAAAACCCTAAACCTCATCTTAACACATAGGCCCTCAACCCTCAGCCCAAAACTCAACTCTGAATCCTGCAAACCCTAAGCTCCAAATCTGAAAACTCCCAGAATCTAAAAATCCTGAAACCGTAAACCACCAAACTCTAAAGTCCCCTAAGTTCCAGATCTGAGAACTCCCAGAATCTAAATCCTAAAACCCTAAACCCCCAAAACTCTAAAGTCCAGAAGTCCACCAGCTCGAAATGGGAGTTTCCGAAAAAAAGGGGTACCTTCTTTTGGGGGGTCCTTATAATGAAGATCCTACTATTTCAGGTACTCTACTAGGGTCCCCCATTTTCGGAAACTCCCTAAACCCTACTTAATCCCTAAACCCCGTATAGAATTACAGATAGAACCCTTCTAGATCCCTTTAAGGAACCCTAGGGTCCCAAACTCTAAAGTCCACAAACACGAAATGCAACGGCACGGGGCCGCAAGGCCGAATTGAAGCTGAGGACGTCGGCTTGCACTGTTGCCTCGATACCCAGAGGCCCCATAGGTTTAGGGTTTAGGTTAGAAGGGGCCCCCACCCTGTAATAGTGGTATAATAGGAATATAATAGGGCCCTAATATAATCCTTATAGTCACTATTACAGGGTGGGGGCAGCTTCTAAGGTTTAGGGTCCTTTTGGAGACTACCTTACAGGATTCTATATACGAACCCCAAATAGGGAACTACTTTGGGGCCTTTGGATACTGAAAGCGAGAAGGGTAATTCAGTAAATTAGGGCCCCTGTGAAAACCTTTTAACGGTCAAGGGTTTAGGGTCCCTTGTAGAGTCCGTTTAAGGGTCCAGGGTTCAGGGTTTTTTTTTTAATCTATGATAGCGGACCACCCTCAGGGTTTTAGGGTCCCTTGTAGGGTCCTTTTAAGGATTAAGGGTTTAGGGTTTAGGGTCCGTTGTAGGGTCCTTTTAAGGGTTTTTTGTTTTAAGATGCTTAGGGTTTAGGGTCCCTTGTAGGGCCCTTTTTGTCAGGGTGCGTACTGCTTTGGTATCGAAACGACGAGGTTTAAGGTTTAGCGTTTGAGATCTAAAGATGCTAAACCAGGCCACTGTGATGCACCATTCAGCAACTTTCGAAGGTGTACAATCATGACGTGCAACTGGGGCGTCCCAGGCAAGCTCCTTTAATTGACACGGCTCTCAACGAAAGGACTCCCTAATCGGATCTATGACGGTAGATGGTGTAAGGTTTAAGGGTCTAGGGCTCAGGGTTGTATAGGGTTTCAGGTTAAGACTGCAGGGCCTCCCGGATGATGTAGCAAAAGTATGAGCAAGATAATGCAACACAGTACAGCTTAAGCTTGGGGCTTAGGGGTTATATGGTTGACTTACACTGACTAAGCCGTTCGATCTTTTCAGTCAAACTCAAAACCCTAAGGATCCAGGCAATGCACTGATCCCAATAAACCTTTAAAGGGACCCTGATTCTTGGGTCCTTTGCCTTCAGTATTCCATGATGACTCCCTATCTGACCGTCTCCTCGAACCGATCCCAAGTGCCAAGAGCAAGAGATGCTAATGTAGGGGCCTCAGTCATTAGAATAGGGTTCAGGAGCCCATTATACACATATGTATAATAATAAGGAACCCCCAAAATACGGTTGATGATATAACTCCTGCATGACCCATTATAAGGAATATGGCATAATTCCCATAGTTTAGGGTCCTTAAGGTAATGCAGGATTTATGTCATCAACCGTAGTATTCGCAATCATTAAGGCCCCTATGTTACCCTTAACCCTAAACCCGAAGCCTCAAGTTGGTCAAAAGCTCCTGGTACTCTAATCTCGAAAGCCGCAGGTTTACCCAAGAGAATAAGGTGGACATGGGTACTTGAAAGGGTTCTTTGGCGTTTATGTGGTTCTATGTGGCGTGTATGCGGCAATGGCTTCTGAGTGTCTGTTATATACTTCAGCAAAGGTTTTGTTTATGGAGGTTGCGGTGTACCTGCAATGCGCCTCTTTTCCCAAAACTTGCAAGGCCACCAACAACAAGGGAAAGACAAAGGTTGCCGAGTCCAAGCGACTTTAGGATTTGGGCTTCACGCTCAGCTCAGCAATCAACAAATCCTCAAGGCCGTGCTATGCCTACTTGGGAAGTCTCATCCGACAATACTTCAGTACTTAAGCTTGGGGGCTGAGTACCCTAGCCCCCCAAAAGGTTAACCTTTTCGAAAATGGTAGGCTGTTCTTGGGTAGGCATGCCTCACGCAGAAAACTCAGTCTCCTGAATCAGGAGTATTGGGGTTTCTGGGACACAGGGAGCCAGACTTCAGTCTTTCTGTAACAACCGATATTAGGGGTTACGTTAATTAAGGGCTGAAGATATGTGTATTAATATTATAATTAAACCCCACACATATATAAATACATATATACATATATATATATGTGCAACAGATACTATCCAAATTAAATTTGGTCCAAGACGCAGCTAGCATTTCATGATGCAGCTGCAAGACCGCGCGCCACTGGCCGCCCTTCCTTAATTGCCGACAGTTGTTTATGCATAATTAAGAGACTACTCTAACTATATGTGCACATATATGTATATACATATATACACAAATCCATGAGGTTCGGGGTTTCGAACAATTCAATGCATCTCAATGTTACTACGAAAAATTCTGATCAAACCTAAACTCAATCATGCCGTTCCTGTTGTTGCTTACATTGTTTCCTTGCTAGAGGGCAATCCCGAAAAGACATCCATCCCAGAAGCTCCTTCGCGATGCCTTTGGCAATGAAACGAATTTTCTTTGGTACCCTAAACCCTAAACCTCAAAGGAGCTACTTCTCTGCTGCACTCGCGAAATGCTTTGGAAGGGTGTAGGGTTTAGGATTTACGAACCTTGACTGAGAGGGGATACACATGAGAGGAGTTATGAGTAAGATGACCCTAGTCAGAGTGCTCTACATCTGTGTATAGCCCACATACTGAGTGCCGTAATCCTTCAAGCCACCTTCAATAATTGGAACGGATCTGAGATATACTCCATAGTTATATCATGCTATGGGGGCTCGGAGTATCTGCAGATCCACAAAAGCTGATCCGGCTCACGGCGTACTCAACAAACACGGCACCCCAAGAAGCCCTCTGACCACCTCCTCCGCAGCTCACAGAACGCGCACGATTCTGGGATGTTCGGTATGCACGCGCGGTGAATCTTGTATTGATGCGTGGCTGAATCCTGTTTTCCTTCTACTTTACAAGATGATAATGTCTGTCCTGTCTTCTGGGTTTGACCAAACAGCCCAGGCTCTCGCATGCACGGATCGTGGTGTTGTAGCTAATTGTGTTGGGACCTGGGAAGGAGCCAAGAAGAACAAGCAAAAGCGCTGAAAACGGCTTCTGGGAGGGCTTTCGGTTTTAGGGTTTCGGGTTTCCTGAAGCCAGAACACTGCCCCAAACCCTAAACCCTGGCCGATGTGGTTTACGATCAGAGGGGGGACATTTGTGTGAAGCCCCTGGACTGACTTGGGAGCTTCCGAAAACAGGGGACCCAAATACAGTACCCTACTGTAAGGACTCCGAAACAAGGTACCCCTTTAATTTTCGGAAACTCCCAAGTCTACATTCGCTAGCACTTAGTGGGGCGGGAATGGGTCGGCACATGTCATGAGTTGTTGTGGCAATGCCGCCGAAGGAAATCAAGCAGGAGATACCTGGCCCTGGAAGTACGAAAATACAATGATGACAAGGTATATACCTGTATCCCAAACCCTACCTACTATAGCAGGTTATGGCCCCATAATTATTTAGAAGGGTCCAGAGTCAACAGCCTGTCGTTTAGTGTTTAGGTCTACTACCAACAGTCCTTCAGCTCCAAATCATGACATACCTGAATAAGCTACCAAATCTACATCTTTGGTAGGGTCGCTATAAAAACTCAATATTAGGGTTTAGACTGAGAGCCCACAAACAAGTAGGTTTTGGTAGTAGGTTCAGGTAACCAGCCGCGAAACGTGGAACACCAGCACCCCCCCACCCCCCAACTCCACAAGCAAAGCAAAAAAACAAACACGCGTTATGTGACTTCAGCGTTTCTATGTTCTGCCTGAACCCCAAGCCCAAACTGCCCAGAACAATGCACAGAACTCTGCTCTCTCGACACGAACCCCTCAAAACCTCAACCCAAAGCTTCAAACTCGCTTGAAGCAAGGGGTTCGTTGCTAGCGTCGCCAGAAAAACTCCCACAATATACATTCACATATAATGTAAACTCTAACTTTCGGGAGTGTCGTTGGTGCCTCGGTGCCAGGTGCTATGAAGACGTAACACCTTGCCCAACAATGTAAACTCTGAACCTACGCCCCAGAGTTCACATGTATTCGAAGCCAAGCGTCTCAGCCTCGCACGGGGAAGCATGTCGAAGATCGCCTCGGATGCTATCAGCGAGGTTGGGTTCTGTTTACAGCCTAGGGCTTTGAGGGTTTAGGGGTTGAGGGTTGTTGTTGGGGTTTCGAGGTCGGAATAAGTAGCGTGTAATACGCTTGACAAAACCGACGAAGGATCTCTCTGAAAGGCACACAACTCTCCAAGAACCAGAATCAAAGCCTACAGTATACTCAAAAAAGCCTTCTAAGCCCTGAGCCTAAGCCCTAAAACCTCAACCCTTGCAGTAATCGGACATAGGATTAGGGGCACCCTTGGGCATGTAGACTCTCAATACGGTCCCTTTCTAGGGAGCTTTTGTCCCCTTCAAGGAGTCTCCCTAATACTAACTAGGTTAGAAGGGGCCTTTCACCCTGTAATAGTGGTATAATAGGAATATAATAGGGCCCTAATATAATCCTTATTAGTCACTATTACAGGGTGGGGGCAGCTTCTAATCACTAGGGATTAATCAACCACCTCGTGGCTATAGCTTCCTTCCAGGCGGAAGCCTCGCCGCACGCAGTGATGCCCATAGTGAACCTCAGCCGAGAACCCAATGCAGGGGCCTTCAATTAGAACAGGGTTCCTTGCAGTGGTCATCTGAAGGGTTCTATGATACAAGGGCCTTAATCATCAGAGTGTAGCTAGGATAGGCCAGATGCAAAGGAGCCCCCAACAGAATACCACTTGGTTACTATTCAAGACTCTGCATAGCCTTAAGGTTCCAAAGGATCCAACAAATTGCAGGGTATGCAAGGGTGTTTGGGCTTGCTGGGGTATTTCGAGAGATCCAAAAACGGATCGCATGTGGTGTCATAGGGGCGTTCAGGGTCAAAAGGGTTCACCGCTTAGGTGCTTGGGTTGAGGATAGTAGCAGTGTAAGCTCGTACCCTGGGGGAGTATACGATCATTCATGACTCGGACCCTTACTGAAGCCTGGGTTAGGATTCAGGGCTTAGGGGTCTAGGCTTTACCTATAGTCTCCATTGTAGTTCCTTTTTTGGATAACCAAAATCTCTATTATAGGATCCTAACCATAAAACTGGTTAACCAAAAAACGGAACTACAATGGAGACTATAGGTAGGTTCAGGTTGTGGGGTTTAGGGAGCTCCTGGTAGGGTCTACGAGCGACAGGCCCCACGATTAGCTCGATCGGAACGGGTTGTCGGGAAGAATATGGTGCGGTTGATGATACAAATCCTGCATTACCCATAATAAGGAATATACCATAATTCCCATAGTGTAGAGTCTGAATTAAGGTAATGCAGGATCTATATCATCAACCGTAGTAGCTAGTAATTCAGTATTTCCCCACTCTACCAGGAATACTACTACCATTGGTGGAAGGCCCTGTGCTCCTCCCCGCCACACAAAAACTGCCTGAAGGAGAAGATGCTGAAATACGCTTCCGCTTCCGTCTAAGGACGTCAGAGACAGATGGGACCCCACTTAAAACTCTTTCGAGGATGGTATGGGATGTATAGTCTCTAGGGTGCAGGGTTTAGTGTCTGTCCAGAAGAGCTACTAATTCCTTTTAATACCTCCGCGGGACTGTGGAATGTGGATCTGGAGGTCTCCAGCCGCATCGAAGAAGTGGAGAATCTGCTGCCGCTTCCTTGGCTTTGTAGGATGCCGGTTTGAACAAGTATACTTGTTTTCATAGCGGTCAGTTTAACCCACAAGGTTCAAAATAGCCTTGCACAAGGTTCAAAATGGCCCGAAAACCTCAAGTATGGTCTTCGAGCCGAAAGGCTTTCAAACAAAAGCCCTTAGACCCTCCAACAAGAAGTCCTTGGAGCCTAAGTGTAAGGAGCAGGCCCGAGCAAGAGTAATCAAGTATTTCACCTATAGTCTCCATTGTAGTTCCCTTTTGGGGTTACATTATGGGATCCCACTATTAACCAACTGTTTATGTACTATATACATAGTTGGTTAAAACCAGAAAAGAAGGAACTACCTAGAGTCTCCATTGTAGTTCCTTTCTTGGCTAACCAGTTTTATGGTTAGGATCCTATAATCGAGATTTGAGTTAACCAAAATGAGGATCTACAATGGAGACTACCTTAAGGCTCCTGGACCCTTGTAGTGAGATCCTGGACCCTAGCCCCCAAAGCCGAAACCCTCCCCCAGAAAAAGCCCAAGACCCTCTTAGGAGCATTAGGGTAGGTACAATGGAGAGTAGTTTACTCCAAGACCCAGCTTCAGCTCGAAATGGCTGCCACGCTGGAGGCCCTGGAGGAGTACCTGTCCAGATCTTCTCATCCCTAAGTTAAAGGGTCCATGTGGGAGTTTCCGAAAGTAGGGGACGGTAATATAGTACCCCAAATAATAGGATCCTTATTATAAGGACCCCAAATAAGGTAGCCCTAATTTTCGGAAACTCCCATGTACCTCAATGGTACTAGGGTTTAGGGTTTAGGGGTTAATGTACTTTGGCCTTAAAGTAGTACCTATATTATATGTGCAGATCTTGGGGACTTAGTACCTTAAACTGTGTGTCCTGAGACCCTAAGGTAAGGAACCCTAACAAGGTACAAGGAAATCATATTCAGGAACCCTAAAAAAGGTAGGTTTCTTAGAGTCCTTGTAAGGGTAAGGAATATACGACCAGGATGCCCAGTAACCTTTTTGGTATTGGGTAACTTTCGAAAAGGGAATAAGGGTACCACTGGGCATAATAGAGTAAGTAGATGATAATCAGACCCCAAAAGGGATCCTACTTGGGGTAATGATACTTATAAGCCTATAAAATGACTGCCTGGTGCGTAGTAGGGAATGGGGGAATGGATCCCTATATTAGATACCAAGGAATACACGTTATAACCCTTGGGCTCTGAGGACTCATATTATATCTTAAGTCCGTTGGGCCCAAAGACCATGACCATACGTACTACATAAGGCTTTTGGGCTATTTTGAGCCTACGGCTAAGGAATACTCCTTAAACCGTGTCAGAGATCCTGTTGCAGCTGGAGTATGTTCCTCATTTCAAGGCATAGCTCCGGTTACAGATCGAAATGAGACTCGAGATCAAGCCGTTGGAGCCCACACGCCCTCCTATAGTCTCCATTGTAGTTCCTTTTTGGGGGTTACCTTACAGGATCCTTAATATATAATAGGTTAAACCAAAAAAAGAACTACAATGGAGACTACAGGGCTACACCTGGGAGACTGGATCAGACCGTCAGATGGACTCAGGTCCTCGAAAGATGTTCTCCCCAAACCCTACAAAATAGTAGCTTATGACCCCTGCAATGGAGGCAAATGGAGGGTATAAGCCTGAAAGCAGTAGGAGTTTGGATCCCCTCGAAATCGATCGTGCATACAAATTTGTACTCCTGCTTTGCGGCAGAGTTGTTCTGCAAGAAAGTCAAAGAACTTGCAGTTTCCATCCACTTCGTCCAACCGGTCCACAGGTGATCAAACCCCAGAACCCTAGAACTGCTTGGAAGTTTCGTTACGGCGTTAAACTTATTGGTAAATTGTCACCTTGCGGTTTGAGATCGAGGGTCTAGAGTTTAATTACGCAAGAACCCTTCTCACAGTATTATAAAGACCTTCAAGAAGCCCTTATGAACCTTCATCACAGGTCTTAGCCTTAGGCTTGAAATGGCCCACAAGCCTTCTATGGTATGGTCTTTGGGCCCAGAGGCCTTCAAAATACGAGTCCTTAGAGCCCAAAGGTTACGAAACCCGAACAAGCCCTTACAAGCCCACCTTGAACGGGAGTTTCCGAAGAATAAGGGGCCCTAATATAGTACCCTAAATGGTAGGACTCTTATTATAAGGACCCCAAAAAAAGGCACCCCCGAATTTTCGGAGACTCCCAAACCCCAAACCGTGGTTAGAGTCACGCGCCAGGCCTTCAAGGGCACGCGACTTCGCGGGGCCATGGAAAATAGACTCGCAATTCTGCTAGTGGAGACGCATAGGCTTTACTGTAGGGCCTAGGCTTTAGACACGGGGTGTATAGGTCTTATGGGGTGTTCCACAAAGATTTATTTGGAGAGTACTGGTGCACATGCTACAGGGCTTGCAACGTGCCTATCTGGCGAATCACGTGTTGCGGGAAAAGAAACCGAAACAAGAGTTCAGGGGTCAGGCCGTGTCTGAACGATTAAACTGCAAGCCAAGGAAACTTCGCGCGTAGGTTGTGAATACAGATACATCATGCTACAACTAAACGGAAGTAGGATAGTTAACCCCAGTTAAACGCAGAGCTACACATAAGTTCATGCCATGAAATTCACAGCTATAAGACAGAAAGGACCAGGTAAATGAAGAGCTATAAGTACGGTGAACCCGAGTTTCAAGCAGAGCTGTAAGTGCATACGATACGGCCATCTAAAGGTACTTACAACTCTATTCGCAGTCGACTTGTTACACTGTCGCCGGATCCTTCGTGCGGACCTAACTTGCCGTGAAGGTAGGACCGAGTCGCCATGATGCCAGTTACTTGTATACCACTGTATACTTGTATAATTCGTTTCTTGGATATCGGTACAGCTTCGGAGTGATCTACGGCTTTCGGGGTTCGTGCTCGGGTCCCAAACTCTGGATGTATAGGACTGGAAGCTTTTCACCCATAGCCGAACCTCTAAACCCTAAACCCCTACACCCCTAAACCCTAACCCCTAACCCCTAAACCCCTAAACCCTAAACCCCTAAATCCTTAAGCCCTAAGCCCTAAACCCGCAAACCCTAAACCCCTAAACCCTAAAGCCCTACACCCTAACCTCTATTTAAGGGTAGAGCCATGGCCAGGCAGGCTTCAAGCTTCCATGAAGCCCCTGCGTGGGTCGTAGTCAATACCGCAAACTTTCGAAACATAGATACTATCCTAAACCTCAGCTGCTGGGTTCATAAGCCCCCCCCCCCGGCAAAAAAAAGAAAAAAGTGTACACTTTAAGTTTTCTAGTGGCTAATATTATTCCAAAAAATGTAAAGTGTATCCACTCAGCTACTCGGAACATGGGTGGGTTCTTTGGACCTTTCCGGGATGCCCTCAACTCATTGGGAAGCTACCATCGATACGGACTTTAGGACGGTGGTCTCCATCTCCGCGCTACGGTTTACTAAATATGCCTTTCCTACTTTAGCAACAGCGGCCATAATGCCCACACTGGCTGCATAACAAAATCATGATAGCTGGAATCATGTATAAATTCTGCTTAGAGAGGCCTAGAGACCTTGCGAACCAAGACCGAATGCCTCCGTGCAAACCTTTGCTCAACGCCTGCAAGCCTTTCCAGCCACCGTGAATGAATCTTGCACTTGCCCTGGAACAAATTCGTTCCAAGCAAAATGTGGGTATATCAGTTCCGTCTCTATAAAATCGCTACTTCCCCCAAAGGTGCAAGGCAACAGCCCCGCCTGCACCAGATCGCTCTGCCAACCTTGGAAGATAATGGAAACCTCCATCCTATCCCAAACCCTAAACCCTAAACCACAGACAATACAAGGAAGGCAACTGGATCCTAAACCCCAAACCCTTCCTCTGGCAGCTCGGGGGTTCGTGCCGTCAGGTTTCAGTTTCAGAGTTTACCTTAACCCGGAAGAACCTGCCCCAAAGAAAGTAAGTTATTCAGGGTTAAGCCAGGGCCTGCGGATGGCTTCGAGTTTCTAACGAAGCGACTTTCAAAATTAGAGTTGGGACTTTCGTAGCTCAAAGTATCTGTATGGGAATCCCATTAAGGGCTAAGAATACACTATCCAGGTAGGGCTTCGGGCTCAGAGTAGTTACCGGCCTGTGATTGACGCCAAAGGTTGGAGTTGGACAGGGGACGACCCAAAGGGTCCAAAGTACCTACATAGTAGACTGTAGGGTTTCTATGTTAGGAATTACTGCTAAGCTATGATTTGGGGAAGTATCCCGCGCAACAGTAACTAGGACCCGTTGGGATAGAACGGGGAAGGCAGGTGCTGATGACAACGACTCCTGTTACCCTAAAGCTCGGAACAGCCCCCAAAGTCTTTCATACTAGGTGTCGATTTCAACAGTCACCAAAACTGATTGAAACTAAGGATCTATTCAACAAATAGGAAAATGAACGAATATCCCACACTGAAATTTAGTACAGTATGGTTTTGTTCCCAAACGCCATAATATGTGAGTCCTGACAGTCTGAGCGTCAGCGATTGCTGCACGATAGAGGTGCTGGGGTGTGGCTTCGGTTTCGGGCTTCGGGATACGCATGGCGTCAATGCTACTGTCTGCCAGTGACTCCGAAAGCCTGCTACTAGGGCTCAAAAGGCTATAAGGGTTTGAGTTATCAGGAGTTGATTTGAAGGTTTCGTGTTTCAGGCCTTCTACTACTGCAGGCTGTGTGCAGACGTAGCTCTTGATTATTGAGAACAGACGGGGGGCCTGGGCAACTGTCCCAAAAAGACCGTAGGCCACTATACCCCACTACTACAACACTACAAGTGTCATACTGTCGCTGGACTTTGATGAAGGAGCGAAGCAAAGAAGATGCAGCTGCTATATGCATGTGTTGTTGCTGTACCCATGACCATCAAGTCATCTCAGTTCAGTGAGCGCCATCCTTGCCTCAGAGATTCGGAACCTTGAAAACAGCATCGCAACACGAAGTGCACCCCTTTCTTGGGGGAGTCGTGAACGCAAAACCACCCCTGTAGGGTTCCTTCAAACGGGCACTATAAGGGCTCCTTTAAGTGATACTATATATTATATGGGCTACTCAATGATGGCGGCTACTATAAGGGTCACAGCGTTACTACACAATATAACCCCCAAAGGCTCCATGTACCTTTATAGTGGATACTTTGGCCTTAAAGGGGTCCCTATGTAGGTACTTTAAGGCCTAAGTATATACTATATGGGTACATGGAGCCTTTGGGACCAGGACCTTGACTGGGGCTCGCGCTTCGAAACAACCCCCTGCTTGGCCTCGTCGAGGGTGTTTCCTGCAAGCAACGGAGGGAAATGAAATCTTGCTACGAGCGTCTGGGTGTCAATACTTAAATATATAACATACATACATGCATACATATACATATATATATATATAGAGTAGTCAGTACGCAGCCTTACAAAAACTATTGGCACATGCACGTACTGTAGGTATAAACATGAAGGAAGATGCACAACCAGCCCACCGAGGCATATAAGATAGTGGGTCAGCTTTGGTGGTCGTCTCGGTGCTCAGGCTGTTCATGCAAATAGTCAGCATCAATTATCAGGGACAGTTCAGGGCTCAGAGTTCGGCGTTAAGGCTTAGGATTTGGAGGGGGTTGCTGCAGAACAATTACTAAGTACTGAAGCTGCTAGCTTCGAGGCATCGATGCTTCACGGCCTCAATTCTGGGGGTTAGTCGTGCGACTTCGCATGCCGGAATGGCCCCTTCAGGGTTTCAATATTTATGGTTCAAGAAGTCCACCCAAAACATGTACTGAGGGTGCTGCACTGCGAGGGGGTTGGGTTCAGGGTGCTGATCGCGTCCTAGCTCTACTCGAAAGTCCCCTTACGAAGCGCCGGACCCGTCGGATATCCAGATATTCTAAGCCGAGGTAATTAATACGGTTGATGATATAAAAGCTGTAGTACCCATAAGGAACATCATTATACGGTAATGCAGGATATATATCATCAAGCGTAGCTCAGATAGCATTTACTCCGGCTTCAAAGGGCCTTCCCCACTAAACCCGATTTCCAAAACCCTCGCCACTCCGTTTGCTCACATGCCCCAAATTGCATGGGATAAAGTACGGGCGTAAAAAGGAGCGGAGTTTAGGGTATATATTAGCATATATATATATATATATATGACCCTAAGGAATAAAGTTTGCTATTGCCCACGCCGAAATGGTAAAGAGGCATCCGAAAGCGCCAGGCAACGGCAGTATGCAACACCATCGACGCCCTCCCCCCGGCACCGCCCAAAATCCAAACTCACATGGACATACTATATTTAGTATAATGGGCCACCAAAACCAAATTCTGAAAAATCAGGGGGCCCCTATACTATTCAAGCCCGATTGCCTGCAGGGGCAGTCAAGAGGACGCACAGCGACGCTGTGGCGATGGACTGTAAAGAGTTCCTCGGGGGTTAAGGGTTAGGATTTGGGGTTGAGGGCGCAGTGAGCCGAACTCCTTCAGAATCCCTGAACCTGACACTTTACAGACCTAGAACGACAAACTCCAGATGAAACTTGAACACCCTGCAGCCGAACACTCTCGTCAACAAAAGCCCTGAACTCGGAACTTTAAAACCCCATAGCCAAACACTCTAAACCCTCCCGAGCCCCAAAACTTCAAAACCACAAAACCAAAACTTCTAAACGACAAAAAACCTGAAGCCGACAATTGCCCATTACTGACCCCCTAAACGCCAAACCCTAAAACATCAAGCTCCTGGGACGCCCCCCCAAAATCTAAAACTCCAAATGCTGAGTGCTTCTGGAGCTCTTTCAGCTGTCTTTGTGACAGGTTTCTCAATGGGTTACCATAATTAGTAAGGTTTCCTATATAAAAGAACTGCAGTCTAGTTTGGAGGTGTAGGGGCCTCGAAAATTCAAATAGGCTTCCAATAATATACCGACGAAATAGTGGTAAATTCCAGTTGAGTTGCAAGGAAGCCCAAGCAATGGAACAACCATGATACGCCCAAATTGCCGAAGTGCTTTTCGTCTGAGGCGGTGGCAGGAGCCGCTGGACCAACTCTGCCTGACAAACTTAATCTGGTGGCCTTACATAACGGGCTTCGCTGGCAAAAACCAAGGGTTGTAGTTAGTATTTTCGCTGCTTTTTTGGATGCGAGTATAAAGTTTTGAAGGGGTTAGGGCCTAAGGATTTAGTAAGGGTGGCGTGTTTTTGATGTCTGGGTTTGGACGCAGTTTGTCTGTCCAGAGTTTAGTGTGGTGATTGCTTCAGGCTAATTATATGAGCTTCTACCAAACCCACATGAACACGATGAAACCGATGCTCAAAGAGTCAGGTCTCCACGTCGTTCAAGCTAGGGATTTGCCACTCCTGCTCGGACTCGCGCAAAAGCTGGTGATTAGGCTAGGATACCCAGTAACCTAAGAATAAAAAGGCCTCTCTTTTTGGTATTGGGTAACTTTATAAGGAACCTAGGACTACAAAAAGGGAATAAGGGTACTACTGGGCATCCTAGTAGGCCTCGTCGAGGGTCTGGCACTGCACCTGAGCAGAGGGGCAACGCGCCGGGAACTCTGAGGAAAAGTGAAAAGGTCCTTGATTTGATCGGGCGTGGCCAGGAGGTTTCAGAAAACCTTCTGCTGTGCCGGTGCCTTGGGGCTCTGGCGAGCCCAGCTTTCGTGCACCGCATACGCTCTGGCAATTACCCGCCTGCAGCATGCAGTGCAATGCCATGCGAATGCAAATCTCTTTGGAGTTCTTGACAAACCATGCAGATTGGTCTGCGGACTGCTGCATTGTCATATGACATGAGGTCGCAGCACCCTCGGTGCTTTCGATAACAGCAACGCAGTCATCTCACCCCAAGAGTTAACAGGACCCCGTAATTGGGCACTTGGGGTCTGGGATAGCAGTAAGGTAAAGAGTCTATGAATAATATCACATGTCCCACCAATGCCAGCATACAATCACTGCCATCCGAAATCCGAAAACCGAAAAAACAACTGCAACTGTAGGCTCCTCGCTTTGGACCAGAAGGATGTGGGTAGTTGTCAAAATTGTCCCTAATTGGGTACCCGCTCCTCGTATAAGGGCTTATGGCTTAGGGGCCGAGTACCCTAGCCCGAAAAAGGTTCAGCGTTCACTTTCAAAAATTGGTAGGACTGCATTGAGGCATCCCAGCATCTTGGGTTCACTTGGCACACCCAAAAGGCTCAACTCTGCATCCTCTAAAAGGCCAAGTCGGGTACCCGAAACTTTTGAACCCCAAACTCACACCCCCAAATCCAGCACCAACAACAACAGCAAAAGCCCCAAACCCCTAAACCCTATAAACCCCTATAAACCCTAAGCCCTAAACCTCTGTCTTACCTTCAACACCGAGCGCCTCTCTGAACTGCCCTTACAAACCACGGCAAGCGTCTAAACCGGTATGCCCCCTCCCCCTCCCCTCGTCCAAAAACCAAGTTCCCAACACATCCTAAACCCCTAAACCCCTACCTCCCTAAACACTAAACAAGCCTTAGAGCCGAACTCCCTAAACCCAACCTCCCTAAACGCCACCTCCCTAAATCCTCACCCCCGAAACCCCAAACCCAGCCCGAAGAAATCTAGATCTCGGCCTCGGTCGCCGCCTTGGGCGGTGCCTTCAGAAGTAAGGCCAGCCTGACACATGACACCAAAAGGTGTCGTACTAATTTGAACATGGCTAGTTTACAGGGTTCCTTTAAAGAGTTCTAGAAGGATACTATTGTAAGAGGTTCTGGTTTTGAGGTTCGTAAAGGGTTCCCTGAAAAAAAGGTTCTTCTATACGGGTTACTACAAGGGATTTATGATATAGGCACGATACTTCGAGACTTAGGGGACTTAGCCGCGTTGATAAGCCCTTGAACCGGACCATAAGGCGTAACAGGGTGTGGGGAAGGTTATTGGGATTTATGCAGACAAGGACTTATAGGGTCGCATTGCAGGGTTTGCTGAAAACAAGGATTTGATGAACTCGGTGCAAGCTTCACTAAGGGTTGGGTATAGGGTCTAAGGTGTACTTGCAGCCCGCTTAAGCGAGTTAGTAAAACCCTCGCCCAAATACTTGAAACAGCGGCTTCCGACTGTATGGACGTGAAGCTCGTAGCCTGGCTTGAGCGGTCGGTTGAGGGTTTACCTGTGGCCCAAAAGACCTACCTCTTTGAGGAACTATATATAGAAACCATAATAAGGAATCCTAAAAAGGTAGGTCTTTTCGGCTACAGGTAGGGTTTAGGTACAAATGTTCGATAGTAGGAAAACTTACGGGCCGCTTGTAACCATCGAAAGTATACGTAATCCACATGGGTGGTTGTCAAAATTATGCTCCCTTTTGGGGTCCCTATTATTGAACGGCACCTATAATCTAGGGTACCCAAAAAGGGACCCTAATTTTGACAACTACCCACATAAGAACAGCGAACTTGCAACGACATATTGGCGAACTCTCCTCACAGCGAAATCACGAAATATCGCAATTTGCCGCAACGGAATGTACTAGCTGCGGTCTTTCCCAGATAAAGACAAACAGAAGATGTTTTCTGCGCAGCCCAAGATGGGCCAGAAACCCGAAAACCTAGATCCAGATATACGAGCTATATGGAAGCTTGTCGTAAACTTGTCTTGATGCCTCACTCCCAAAAGCCTCGTCAACCAAGTCTACTTGGAAATCTGAGGCCTGGTCCTAAACGCAGCCCGAAGGGTCCAAAGGACCCAATAATTAGGTACTTGGGTTTAGGATAGTAGTTATGTAGCTCAATCAATATTTAGGAGAGTATATGATTATTATGTACTTGGACCCTTAGGGCAAGGTCCAATAATATGGTCCAATGCAAGGCTCGGCCGGGCGAGTGCCCCGCATGTTCATGGACCACTCCGCGAGCCATTGCCGATATGGGAGTTTCCGAAAATTGGAGGGGGCACTTTATTTTGGGGGTCCCCATACTCAAAATACGACTATTTAGGGTACTAGATCAGGGTCCCCTATTTTCGGAAAGTCCCTAAACCCTAAACTGCCCTAAACCCTTTATAGAACCCTTATAGATCCCTTTAAGGAGCCTTAGCATCCCCCTATTTTCGGAAACTCCCATATGGCCGCTCAAGCTGTTTCTGCAAGGAGGCTCAGGTCGAAAGCCATGGTCTGGTTCTTTCTCATAGGCCCCATGGTAATTCCTATTTTGGGGGTTCATATCTAGAATTCTATAAGGTAATCCCAAAAAGACTACTATGGGGTCTGGGTAGAGAAGGGGAGCAAGCCCTATAGATCCTAAATTCGAAAGCATCGGGAAGTCTCGGGCTCAATTCGTGGACATCCCAGTCGAAGGCTCGCGCACATGCAATGCTGGCGTCCGGGGCACGCCTTACCTTTGGTTTGCAGGGAATGGAAGAATGGTATAGTAGTTATACTTGTACCCCATTCCTCCATTCCCTAACCAAAGGTAAGACGCAGAAGTCTCAGCGCCAGCCACGCTGGGGTGCAGCCGACAACCAGGGGACAGCGGAAGGCTGCCTCAACCGGAGACCCCTCAGTCTTAGGGTTGCGGGTTTAGGGTCTACCTTTACCCTAAATAACCTACCATTTTGGGGCTCCTTATTATAGATTTCTTTATACAAGTCCTTGAAAAGGTAGGTTATTCGGGGTTTAGGGTTTGGGGTTTACGGTTGATGGCATCGGTCTCTGGGTTCGGGTTTGGGGATTGAGGGTTGAGGGTTTAGGTTTAGGGTTGAGGGTTTAGGGTTAAATAGTAGGTTACTGAGAAGATAACACATGGTTATTTTATCTACGATTTAGGCAACTGGCGCCCTAGCAGGTACAGAAAGTGTCATCTCCAAATCCAAATGCCACGTTATACTGCTAAAGTGCCGCGCTAAGTAATAAAGCCCCCACTATCCCAAAGGGTCCTGGGAACGAACTGTTATGTCCTCTAGTCATCGTAGTAGTCCTATTGTTATAGAAACCTACGTTCTACCATATGGCTACTTTAGACCCTCTGGGTATCTACATAGTTGAAGCCATAACAGAGTTCTGGGCTCCGGGCGCGACGAGCTGATTCTCGCGCTTCCAGGACTCTGGCGACTGCCTGTTGCTCCAACTATGGGGTGTACGGCAGTGGGGGGATTTAGGGTTAAGTTGAAGGGTTTAGAGTTTAGGGTTTATGGGGTAGGGTTTATGGGTGGGGATCCACAAAGGGTCTGTGGCCTAGTAATCCCCAAAGCTCTTAGTTTCCCTAGTGAAAACCTTCCCCCTGGAACCACTCGTAGAGAATCCGCATAGAGTACAATTATATTAATTAGATCCCTAAAGCCCTGATGAGGATGGTCTGTTGGGGCAAGGAGCCCAGGGGGTGAGTTAAACGCATCGATTATAGGGTTATAAAGTGTTGAGGGTTCAGGCGGGGGCAACCATGGGTTTACGATGGTGTAGGAGTTGGAGACTTTTTACAGAGAACTTGAGGGTTTAGGGTTTAGCATTAAGTCTGCGTTGCAGTTACCGGCCTTGGCCCAAAAGTCAAAGGGGAAGAGGGACCCTTAATGGGGACCCCTACCCTATAATGGGCTATATAATGGGTATATAATAGCTATATTAAGGGTGTATACCTATGGGTCCTTATTAAGGGTCCCTCCTTTTACCCTTGGAAAACAGTCAAACAAAAACCCTCAACACCTAAGCCCAAAACCCAAACTTTCCGTCGTCGTAAACATAGGACAAGAGAGTTATGTTACAAACACAGCCGCCTGCCCCCCACCCAAACCAAAAGAACGCTTTCAAAAGTCCCCGTCAACGAAAGCCACATACCTCGATTGTCACTCCTTCAATGCATACCTGTATCCCCAAACTCTACAAACTACGGTTGATGATATAAATCCTGCATGACCCATTATAAGGAATATACCATACTTCCCATAGTCTAGGGCCCTTAAGGTAATGCAGGATTTCTATCATCAACAGTAGTAGATGGACATCTGAACTAACTACAGTGCACAGCCCTCAAAACAGCGAGTTTTCGGATCTGCAGGTAAGCACAAAGTTCGAGACAAAGAGTCCCAAGCCGTGCATTCGCACTAAGAGTCGAAGCCAGAAGGTATATTTCAGGGATCCTTTACTGGGTTCTGGAGTACCATGGACCGTGAAGTAAATTTGTACTTCGTCTCCGCCATTCCGTCAAAGTCCAGTTTGCCCTAACATTGTGCTGCTACTTTTTTATGTGCATGCACATAAAAAGTAGCAGCACAATGCCCAAGTACCTAATCATCACATGCTCGCCAATTTGGCAAAACAGGAGTAGCCTACATGCCTACTATATAGTATGCCTTTGGGCTACTTTGAATCTTAGGGCTAATGCCACCACTAGCTGCCAGTCAGGAATACATGAAGGAGCCTCGCCAACCGCCAAGCAATCATCTCATCCAGAGAGTCCTAGCTTCCAGAACAAGCCGAAGCCTTGTTCTTGTAGGATGGGGCTTCGAGACATTGCACACTTCAACTGTGCCACGGCAAACAGACGGATCCGACTTTTTGAGGCATTGGCTCAAAAACAAGAATATATAGGGCATTGGTGACCGTAGCCTTCTGGGGGGAGAGCTGTAAAACGGACAAAAAAGGGCACACCATCGGCAACCATTCCGACCGCCATATTGCCCTCGTTTGGGGCTGGGATTCCTCCGTAGGTCTTTCGGGCCGGTGAGTCCTAACATAAGGGGCCTCAATAATAACTGGAATAGGGTCTTGGGCTGGGGGCTCCTTCTTGCCATTATGGTAAAATATACCCCCCCAAACCCTATTCTAACCATTAAGGCCTCCCAGAAGGGGCCTTGGGCCTATATCAGCTGAAGGCCCGCAAACAAACATGTGGAGGCTCCTGCTGCCGGGGTTGACGAGAGTTTCGGGGTTCGTACCCGGATTGACTATGTTTACATAAGGAGACGATAAGCATCCAAAGGGCTGTAAGCCTTGAAGCAGGAAGGGTCTGCGATGTTCTTCTCCACTGAAAGACTCAAAACTTAGCGAAAGCCCAAGCCCCACAAACGGGAGTCATGAAGGGTCTGAGAATGAGAACATCATGGAATGAACGAGAGTCGCTCGCACTGTGACACGGTTAAAGTATTCCTAACCTAACCCTAAAAGTCTATGTGATCTGGGCTCTTTCTTTGTGAATTCCTTGTATATGTACACCCTCAAGCAGCTGCTCCGAGGCATGCCGAACTAAGATTCAAACTGCTAGAACCCTGTATCCGTTTCACGCTTTTATTGTTCAGGGTTCGGAGTGCGCAAGAAGCCTCCTCGTCGTCGCTGTCGTCGTCGCCGTCTTCGACCACGTCGTGGAGATCAGGGTCGTTATAAGTAGTAACACGTACCTATCGCCGAAGCGCTGTAAGAACAGTGAGTCTGAAAAGGTGGTGCCCCAACTCTGCCCCAAGACAATCCTTGTTGGCTGCTATGGACACGCCCAGCAGAACGGCCAGGGCCTGCGTGGCAGTTTTGTTTGATTTATGTAGGTTTTAGGGTTTAGGCCTTTTTTGGGCAATTAGAATGTCTTTGGGGTTGCTGCGGGGTTGACGACCAACATATTATATAGGGTTCTGGCGCAATCAGGATTACGTGGGGGCTTAAGGGTAAAGGATTTTGGGGTTTAGGGGTCCGACAAGTTCTAGACTGGGACATAGGCGACACCTGAGCAGCCATAGTCATGCAGCAAAGGCGGCGCAAGGCGCAGTATCACATAGGGGCTTGGATAGCCGGCCTATGATTCCGGGGGTCTGTGCATAGTATAACTTAGCCAAAAGCCCTAAGACATAGTCTTCCATCTCTTGCTGCTTGTGCCGACCATTATGTTGTGCTTTCATGTTTCATGGTGCCCCTGAATAATAGCGGTACCCGTTTTCCTAATACTCAGTTTTAGCAAGGAGACCCCAAACCAAAAAGGGCAAAAGGGTACTCATCAGGAACCAAGATAAACAGCCGTTTCACCCTTTGCAACTTTCCAGGACCCCCCTAGAACAGGCCTTGGCCGCGGCATGATACCCTAAACCTTAACCAAATTAGGGTTTAGGGTATAGGTTGAAACCCTCAACCCTGATACTTTGCCCTAAAAGTTCATCCCTGTGGAACCCTTTACCCGCACATCCTCCCTATAAAAGCCTTCAAGTGCCCTTCTAGCCTTATACAGTTTTAAAGGAACGCTTTAGGGATCCCACAGACGCTATAGTATACCCCCCAAAACCTTGTTGCAATCATCGAAGACCGTCATTATATCAAAACCTGGAAGTCACCTTTGTGGCCCATTGTGGCAACTCTGCAAGGAACACCATTCTGTTTACCCTGCACAACACAAACACTCCCTAAGCCTCCCAATGTGTAGGGATCTAAATTGCCCCAAAGTAAGTATTGTTAATCGACTGGCCCCGAGGTAAGTACTGTTTGTATACTTGAGTCTTGTACCAAAGAAGCCCTTTAAGGAACCCTGTAAGGCGTCTTTAAGGAATCCCTTTAAGAAACTCTTCAGGAAACCGCAGAAGGAAGCCTATACAAAGTAATTCAGTGTCTTATGGAACTCCCGCTTGTAATAGTAGCCCTCAATAGGATCCCTTTGACCCTAAACCCTGAACCCAGCACCCTAAACACTAAACCCCACAGACTACAGTACCTCTTATAGTAGCCCGTATGGTTGTCCTTATTGAACCGCGTACAGACCCCTTCAAGGAACCCTTTACGGCCCAAACCTCAACCCCCCTATAGAACCCCGAGAGATCCCGTTAACGGAGCCTGAGCCCTTAAAAGGAACCCTTAAAACGGAACCCTACAAAGCAGCCCTAACCTCAGCCCGAAATCCTGTATTGACGTAGAACCACTTACAGACCCCTTCAGGGAACCCCTTAAGGGCTCAAACAACCCGAAACCCGAAACCCTAAACCCTAGACCCACACACCCTCAACCCTAAACCCTATTATTCGTCCCCCACCTTGATCGTGGCCAGGTCCGAGGAAGCCGCGTGCTGCCAACATGTGCTCGCCAGGCCATGGAGCCTTCAGAGAGGGCGGGATTTAGGGTTTTATGATGGTGTCGGTTCAGGTTTCTTTTTTGTTTAAAGTGTGTTGGGCCTTTCGGTTCAGGGTTTAGGGCTTAGGGATTAGGAATTTATGGTTTATGAAGGTTTAGGCTAGGATTCTGGGTTACAAGGTCAAAAGGTTTAGTGAAGTAGGGCCTTGGGCTTGGGAAAGTGCAGTTAGGACTTCCTTAACCCGGAATAACCTACCTTGTTAAGGACAAAAAAGGAAATCATACTAAGGAACCCTAAAAAGGTAGGTTCTTCAGGGCTAAGGTTTAGGTTTAGGGTGGACGAGGTTTAGGGAGGAGTTTGATCGAGGCTTGCAGGACTTTTTGAGGGCTTTATGGGGTCTTATACACGTGTTTTGAAAGGTTGCAAAACACCGTAAAGTTTTGGGCTTTTAGGTTTGTAAACATATTTATTTCTGTGCGTTTCACACTACAACATGCGCTGGGATTGTAAGCTCTTTAAACAGGAAGTTGGGACAGGGGGTTCAGAGATGTTCTGCGTAGGCTGAAAGAGTCCAGGACGTAGCCTAAGTAGCTAATGGATATAGTGAAGTTTGACTAAGGACCCCTACACAATCTTTTGACAGCGGTACCTTAGAAGCTGCCCCCACCCTGTAATAGTGGTATAATACGAGTATATTAGGGCCCTTATTATATAATCTTTTTTCATCCTTATAGTCACTATTACCGGGTGGGGGCAGCTTCTCCGCGGTACCGTTTATGTGACAGGCTTTTAATCGAATTGGGGCGACTCCACCAGATACAACTCCACCCCAGTCGCCCGTGAGAGAGAGCAAGCGAAGACATCGGCCGAACCCAAGCGCGAGGGCTACCCTCCAAGGGTCCGTTCTAAGGGATCTAGAGCGTCGGCTTTCCCAAAAATTCTCAACCCTACACCCTGTGGCTTCTGGATATATCTCTATATATGTATGTATACACACACATAATGATATATATATATATATATATATATATATATATATAAGTATATTCCTACATGACTCCTTGAACTGTAAGTCCTTTGGGCCACTGGTAGGCCCTGGCGGCCTGGACAAGACATTGCCGAGCTCCGGCTTCACCAATCGGAGAGCCTCAGAATTTGGGTTTACCAGGACCCTGAGGTACCCCTTAAAGGGCTCCCTGGGGGCCTTCGTAGGTTCGCTTAAGGGGTCCTTTAAAGGGCTCTGACATTTCGCATGAAAAGGGAATTTTGGGCTACAATAGAGGGTAGTAGGGGGGTTCTAGGTAAGGTTTGGAGTTTCGGGCTTCGACGCATTCCTAGGTTCTTCACGCACCACTTCATGATAAGGGCACCTGCTGTTCGGACTTCACGGGCTCAACATCTCTGCATGAGCCTGCCGAACAGCACACCTCATGTGGTCATTCTGCGTGGCCAGGCCAGGTCTGAGGCAAACTTTTTGAAAGAGCTTCGGGTGGGTTCACATGTTTGCCCGGTAGGGATGCAAGATGGGCAAAACGGCTCTGAAACCATGCGACGATCTCTGAAGCTGCAGAACAATCGAAGGATGCCGACTTAGGAAGTTCCAGGCTATCATGTCATCCTGTGAGCATCCCATTGGAAATCGCCGGGCCCCAGACCCTGGGCCCTAAGCCTTATGTAACCCTAAACTGCCCAAAACCATTATCTAGACCCCGAGCTCTAAACCGACATCCTGAACCTAAAACCCTAGACTAAACCCTCATCGCTAAGCCTGGGAAGGTGCACGACAGCCGGGTCTGCGACGCAAGCGATGCAGCCCCGTCGCTGCTCCTTTCGACAAACCCTTCTTGTCCGTGTCAGATACGTAGGGGGCTAAGGAACAGGTATATTAGCCACTCTACCCTTACATAGGCCTAAAGGTTTGTTCCAAGAGATTCTGTTCAGGGCTTGCTTCATAATGATTGATTCGGCTCGAGGCAGATTTACTGTCAGGATATGTAACTTCCATGTACCAGGAGATAACAGCAGTATGACCTGGGGCAAACTGTAAAGGAACTCCTGTTCGCCAAAGGCATTTACATTACTGCCCTAAGGGTCTAAGAGTATCCCAAATTATGGAGCACTATACGCGGTTACAGCTGAGGATGGAGGGATTTCAGCATTGAGAGCTTAAAGGCTTACGGGTTCAGAGTTTACCTGTTCAGCCGTTCAGGGTTAAGGGCTTGAGGGTTCACCCTAAGGCCCTAAGGGTCCAAAAGACCCAATAGTCAGGTACTTGGGTTTGGGATAGTAGTTTTGTAGCTTACTATTTAGGAGGGGTATATGAGAAAAATAGGTACTTGGACCCTTAGGGTCAAAATTGTGAGTTTGGCCTGCGTATTTTCGGCCTCGGGTCCCTCAACTCTAAACCCAAGGTTTAGGCTTCCGGGTGTTTGGGCTCGACATTGGTTTGGGGTCTGAAGATAAAAGCTTCTTATGATCTTTCGGGGCTCCTGCTTAGAGGTCCTATTCAGGCTATATACGGCTCTATGCTGCCATCCCCAGGTTGCCGAAGCTCCCAAGCACCGTTCCGTTGTGTCTTCTGGCTGGGCTTAAACATTTCGATCTGAAGGCCCTGAGCCCCCGCAAAGTCCGCTTGAAGCCCAGTTACCTATGCAGTCGGTTACCTCGTTCTGGGTTTAGGGTTTAGGGTTTAGGGTTTTATGAAGTTTGCATAGGTTTGAGGTTAGAAACCCAATCATGAGAAACTGAGCTTCTAGGGTTGCCACACCACGCCCAGCACTCCCAGATAAAATCACTGCAAGAGTCGCGATACCCATATTGCACATAGTGGTGCCTTCAAGAGGTTCCAAAATACTAACCTCAGGGCAAACCACCACTGTACTATGTACATGGACTCTTCGGGTATGGTAGATTACTGGGTGCGAATCCTGGACAAACGTCTGTGGTAAGGTCCCATCGCACAGGTCTGTGCCAATCCTACACTGACCCTTTTGCCTCCAAACGAACACAAGGATGCAATTCTGAAGCCGCGAGGAAGCCAGCACCCTGACTGGCCAAAACCCTCCCAAACCCCCACACCCTAGACCTCGTCCTAGGCTCCGAAAGTTACACACCGTAGGCAAGCAATCCATCAGCTAACTATTCCAGGTATAACAGGGGCTGGCCTCCGAGTAACCCCCTGCCGCTTCGTTCGAAACCTGAGCCGGGAAGCGGTGTAAGACTCTTCCTCAATCTACGAGAGGAGCAAAACCAGGATTCGGGGTAGATTAGCATTCACGGTGGACCGCAGCTGTGGACCGCAGCTTAGGGTTAACGAGGGCTTAGGGTAGCTCAGGGTTAGGAACCAACAGAATCTTCATCTCAGCATCTTTAAAGCCCGAGGTCCGCCGTAGAAGATCCTTCATTCCACAGGCACAGAGGCCACCCACACGGCATTCCAACATCCAAGGTAATTATATGGTAGAATGTAGGGTTGATATAGTAGGGATTACTACCACGATTTGAAGAAGAATCCCCAATAACAGTACGTCGAGATGCGGATAGGATCTAGTAACCCTAAACCCTAAACCCAAGTCTAGGTTACCCGAAGCTCAAAGCCTGAAGCCCTTAGGCCCTAAAATCCTGACGCTCTTAACCCGAAATACTATGGCATCCTTCTGATGGCAACTTCAGCAAAATTCTTTCTCACTTTAAGCTTCAGGGCGCGGGCGGGGGGGGGGGGGGAAGGGGGGCAACCCCGAATCGCCCAAACAAAACGCAGACAACAACACGCATTTTTATGCTAGCAAAAGCATCATGACGGCAGACGGGTGTGAACAACAATCATCGATACACGCACGCACCATCGACCTTTGCTGCATGTACCATGCATGCATATGCAGTGCATAGTTGAAAACATATGTACGTAAGTACGGGTGTACATATGTAAGCATGCAAGCATGTCGGCATGCATGCATGCATGCAAGATAGACAGATGGATAGACGGATGGACAAAGTGATAGTTTGATAGGTGTGCAGACAGAGGACTAGGTTAACTAGATAGACCAGATTGATAAACCGACTGAGTGATAGACAGACAGATAGGTCGAGAGATAGTCAGTAATCAACTAAGGAATTGGCAAGACAATTGATGGATACAAGAAAAGACAGAGGGAGCGAGAGAGAGAGAGAGAACAAACAAAAACAAATTGGGTAGTTCGATGAATGGCTAGATAAATGCAGGGAGAGACAGACAAACAGACAGACAGACAGACAGACAGACAGACAGACAGGCATACAAACAGAGAGACAGAGAGAGAAAGCTGGGTGGTTGATAGGCAGGCAGAGGCAAACAGATGCATAAAGGAAAGATAGAGACACAGACAAATGCAGTACACAAACCATGTGTATGTATACACAAATACCCTTCTCATATTCATACTCATATGTTATACATATATATATACATTCACATAGAACTGTTATTGCATCTCAACACATCTCTCACTATTGCATGCTGCAAGTCATATGTCACAGACTGTATAGAAGCATCCGCATAATCACAATCACAGCCATCAACATAACCAATGCCACAATCTTCATTATAGCCATGAGCATAAGCTGTAGCATGTCTGACATATCATATCACATGAGCATATGTGGGATCACCTCAAGTCATGAATATAGCAAGCTTGGGCCGCCCGGCTGAAGCCAAAAAATCTGACCTCGGCTTCGCTTCGGGAACAGCTTCATCTGTCTGGATCTTAGTAGCTCTTAGGGCTAAATGCGTAGGGCCTTAAAAATTAGAATAGGGTTCCTTTAAAGGGATCTATAAGGATTACTATAAGGGATCTATAATGGTACTTTCTGTCTGGTTCTTTGTAGGGAATGGGGGAATGGATATTGGGGACTATTGTTGGGATTGATATAGGCACTACTGTAGGGATCCTTTCCCCCATTCCCTACAAAGCACCAGACAGTCATGGGACGGGCTTCGAAACCCTCGGTATAGAGTTTGGGGAGCGGGGGTTGAAGGTTTAGGGTTTAGGCCCCCAGGGTCCCCGGGATATCCGTCTTTCTTACAAAACAAGGATGGGGTTAAGGTTTAGGGGGCATAGGATTTAGGCTAGAGAGGCTGGAACAATTGTAAACACTACTCCTTTCTGTGGCGCTCCTCATTACAAGCAACTACTACTAATGAGAGTATACCGATAAAAAATACTCTGGTCAGTGACCCTAAACCCTAAGCCCCTAAAGCCTAATACACACAATGAAAACGGCTGCTCGAGACACCGATCCCAAGCGACATGCTGCCGAGGATGGCCAGCATCCCAGCAGGTGGAGGTGCACCTAACGGTTTCTAATAATATAGGGGCCTGAATAACCAGAATAGGGTTCCTTTAAAGGGCCCCTTTACAGGGTTCTATAAGGGCTACTATAAAATAGGGGCGTTAATAACTAGAATAGGGCTTCGGGGCCCATTAGACTAGACTTATAAAACAGAACACCCCCAAAAACATAGTATAGCTAATTTTTAAGGACCCTATATCAACGGTTTCTATGCTGTTGACTAACCCACGGGGTAAAGGTATAAACAGTTTTGGGTATACTTATATTACAATGGGAACCCAGAACAGAAAAAACCGTTAGACATTTCTGTAATTGCGCCAATTAAGTTTAACTAGGAACTCAGCAACAAAAACATTACATGTATTCCACTGAACAACCTAGGGTTTGGAATCTCCTTCAGGGCTTAGGTTTTCTTGAAAAAGGTTCAGGGGGTTACAATCCCTGAACCCTATATTTACATATGCATATATACATATATGTATATATATATATATATAGGGCCTTCATTCAACAAAGCCAATAGGATGCCTCTACGGGATTAGGGCTTTAGGAGCCTCAAAGATTTTACGGCTTTACGGCTTTAGAGTGTGAGTTTTTGGTGTCTTATGGCTCCTGGAACGCCTTAAAAGGTTGCTTTCGGGTTTCCTAACGGGTCCTACTGGGATTCCTCTATGGACCCTCAAAGTATAGGACCCGGCCTGCGAAAACGTCTGTGCGGTTCGGTGGAGCTCTTTAACCAGTGGGATGATGCAAAGGTTTGAGCGGTCAAGGCGGGTTCAGGGTGTTTGGTCTTAACGCGTGGATCTTGTTTAAGGTTGAGGGTGAGTTCAGGGCCTCAAGATTTCAAGATGTTGGGGTGTAGGAATCTCCAGGAAGCCCTTTACTCTTCAATTGCAGAATGCCACGGGGCTTGCTACTAATATGGCTACGTACTTGCTTCCTAAAAACCCTGAACCCTACACTCTTTCCCTGAAACCCTAAACTGTTGGGCTCTCGGGGTGACCAAAGCTTGGGACTACTTTAAGTGCAGGTTCTTGCAAGCAGAGCCTGTACACACTTCCAACCCTCAGGGCCCAAGCTTTCTTAAGGGTAATCAGGAGTGCTGGGATCCTCGGGGAACTGGAGTGACCTTAGAGCCTAGGGCAACGGCTCTTGAAGGAATATGCCGACTTGGAGTGTCCGCGATGAGTACGGAGTGTCTGTGGCTTCGGCTCAAGCGGTTCTGGTTCCCGGCACATAACCATAAATCCCTAAATCCCTGAACCCTCATGACATTGGAGCCTTGACGGATACACAAACAGTACTCTGTTGCATAACCAAAACCCTAACCTGACAGCATTGTGCGCAACTTGAGGAACTGGTCTTCCAATCCAGCGTTGTGGTGTCCAACACCGATCCCGCTGGGGCACATTCCTGGAATATCCTCTTGGACTTAAGCGATGCAAATCTTTGAGACGTAGCCCCACAGTATTTTGCAAATGACGTTGTCACTGAACGACAGTGACCAAATCAATTGCCACTTATTGCTGAGCTTCTTCTTCGGGATAAACACCTCCGTCGGGTCTCGAACCATCAGAGCATACACCATCTTCTCCGGTGTAGCGTTCTGGATTTCGTTGGAAAAGGCGAGGAGGATGAGCTTGCAGACCACACGAAACATGAGATGAGACCTGGCTGTGCTTGTTTCCAACTAGACATTGAGGCCTTCGCGGATTCCCGCCTCAAAGCCCGCGGACTTGGTACTCAGAAGAACCCTAAGCTTTCGAGAAACCGGGTTTTTGATATCTTTGAATAAACTTTACAGGAACTACAACTTTACAGGAACTACAAGGACATATGAGTAAGGCTTATTCCGACCTCTATGAGGCTCTATAGGATCTGTGCAAAAGACGACGATGAGGCTCGCTATAAGAGCTGCGACATGGATTGCTGCATGGAGCAACATTGGACACTGTCCCAAATTGGTACTTGCAAGTGCCCTAGTGTACGCTGCTGAACTTCCTAGACAGCCCTTAACCCTGACCTTAAAAATATCGGAAGCCGTGGAGCCGGCAAGGCCCTAAGGGTCCATGTACACGTACATTGCGCTGACCCTGCAGATACTATCCGGAGAACCCCTGAGCAATAAATGTACCGTTCTGTGTATACGTAGAAATAAACAACATTTGTATACTGCTATATCATGCAGGTAATTACATGGGCCCTTAGAACTGCCCCTTGTGACCCATAGTGAACAGCAGATACTGCCCCAATACTGCCCCAATCTCCTACCGAGTAATCAACCATGAACCTTGCCTGGAGATCCTGGGGTTCTATCCTCCAGGCAAGGGATCATAACCTGAATCCGCAGCCCTCCCTGTAACGCTGATAAGTAAGATCTAGGTAGGGGTTTGAGAAATCATCAAAAGCCTCCCCACTGTCTCTACATGGGTAGTTTTGGGGCACCCTAAACTATAATAGGTGCCGTATCATAATAGGGACCCAAAAAGGGACCATAACTTTGACAACCACTCACATGTCCCACCTCCTCCTGTCGTAGCTCCACCCGAGCCTGCTGTGATCAAAACACGGGTTGAAAGTTTCGGGCGTCTTCGTGGGTCGGAGTTGGGCCATCCCAGTTACTTTCAGGACCAAATGAGCCCTAGAAGGCTTTAAGGTTCATCCATATGAGAGATTTATCATACAAGGGCGCACGACCGCAACTTTTAAGGGTCATTTGGTCCCTGAGGCATGAAGAGAGTAAGCAACTCTGAAGCCCACACATGCCCATCTGCCCATATTCACGCCACTGTAAACCACCTCTAAGCCACGAGACCCGAGACTCCTAGACCCGTTAGTAGCGAGTTGGGTACTATTCAAAAATGAAATTTGACCTTGCAAAATCAAACTATGAGCGTGCCGGAGATTCATGAACCTTCTAAAGTCTCCTAGGCGAGGAATTGGAAAGATCCCGAAATAACTTCATTT